TGAAATGAATGATGCTATATCTCGATATCATGTAACCTTTCAGAAAAATTGTGTAAAAATCAGCACTTGTTCATTCTTTATTCATTCTAAAAACTAGCATGTGGCTACAAAGACATTCTAAATTTTGTTAAATAGAAGATAAAATAAATTTATGTTCATAATTTTTGTTATTATTCAAAATAAAATTTCAATCAAGTGTTTCATGGAGATTTTTCCCTCTTTATGAAACATTAGCTCCTGTTTCACACAGATGCACTTTTTTATATATCTTTTTAATGATTGTGAAAAATCAGACATTCAGAAAAGTAGGGAGAATATATAACAACTCTCCTATATTCATCACCTAGATTTCAAAACTGTCAAGCTCTTGCCATATTTGCATCAAATATCTTCTTGTGCTGAAGTATTTTAAAGTACCTTACAGACATCATGCCATGTTACCACTTATCATTCCAACACAGCCCCAAAAAACAAAGGCATTTTTCTACATACCCACAAACCATTATCACACTGAACAAAATTAATAATTCCATAATATTATCTAACATCCAGTCCCAGCAGGCAGTTCTGGCCTCCCTAGGGTGGCCTCTCGGGCCAGGTGCCAGGGGTGCTGCCCCTCTGGGAGGGTCTCAGTGTTTCCTGCAGGAGCTGCTTCACTTCCTCCTTTCTTTCCTGTATTTCCTGTAACCTCGAAGTTAGATCTAAAGCTGTGTTGTCCAATGCAGTTGTTACTGGCCACAGAGAGCTATTTTAATTTGAATTAATTTAATTAAAGTAAAAATTTCATTTCTCAGTCACATGAGCTATGTTGCAAGTGCTCAGAGGCCACCTGTGGCTCATGGTCACCTTATAGGACAACGCATGTCTAGAACATTTCCGTCACCTCGGAGGGTTCTATTGGACAATGCTGCTCTAAAGTCTTGATTTGTTTGTAGGCAAACATTTTTGGCAGAAGACTTCATAGCCAATGATGGTGCTTCATACTGCATCGTTCAGAAAAGTGATTTGACTTCAATTAGCTGTTCCTGGCACCAGGGTACCAATGATGTCCAGATAGTGAGGATCTCCTAGATTATAAAATGCCAACCGAGATGAAAAATGTGTACACGTGAGATAAAATTAGTTCAGCCCCAGGTGCTCTCAGCTGATGGGCCAACTCAGAATCCAGTGAAGCCATGAGGATCCATCTCTGGACACTGGCTCAGGCAAGTCATTGAACCTGGGGTGCTGCATTAGTCAGTTTCTAGTCCACACCAAGGAGAAAATGAGCAATCTGCAACTGCAGCACGTGGGCAAGACAAATCCTCCTGCGATGGGGAAGCCATGGGAAATCTGTAAGCAGGAAGGTGAAGGGACCAGCCCTGGGTCTTGGGAAGCGCTCGGGCTGAGCTGTCTAGAACAGAACGGAGGAAGCAAAGCCCCAGCATGCACGGAGACATCCTGGAGAGTGACTACAAAACCCAGTGAGAGTCCATGCGGGCGGCGGCACGGGGAATAGAAGGAAAGGGCCAGATTTGAGAGACGGGGTCTAAGAAATGATATGAGAATCTTCCAAAAGGCTAGAAAGAAAAGTGGGAGAGACAAAAAATGGGCAGAGGGCAGAATCATACTCAGGAGGCAGCAGACAGGTGAAACTCCAGGCATAAGAAACAGGTCTGAGCAGAGAGGAGAAAAGGTCAGGGACAAACCACACAGAGGGCAGGGGTGAGGAATGGCCACACGTTGGGGGGGGAGGGACTTTTTAATTACTATAGAACATTTCAAGCATGTGGAAAATTATAGAAAACAACATAACAAATACGTTAGTGTGTCTTCTAAATGTTTCTATTTGTACTTCAAATAATCACACACATCCTGTTCACCAAAACCTCTCTTACCAAGATTTCTCCAGAGTTGATCTCATATAAAGTAACAACCGAAAGAACTTAGAATTGCCATGTTTGCTGCTAGGAGAACTAAGATAATTATGCGCAAACTCAATTGCCTACCCTGTCAGGAATACATATTTTATTTATTTATTTATTTAATTTATTTAGAATGGTTATATAGGTCTCATTGATTTTTTTTTTCTGGGGAAGGTTCACCCTGAGCTAACATCTGTTGCCAATCTCCCTCTCTTTTTTTCCCCTCCCCAAAGCCCCAGTACATAGTTGTGTATTCTAGTTAGAAGTCCTTCTAGTTCTTCTGTGTGAGCCATCACCACAGCACAACTACTGACAGACGAGTGGTGTGGTTCTGTGCCTGGAAACCGAATCTGGGCCGCCCAAGCAGAGCATGCCGAACTTTAACCACTAGGCCATCAGGGCTGGCTCAGTAATGCATGTTTTACAATGCCCCGTTTACTACTCTGAAATGAAATTCATAGATAATAAATCTACCAACACGCAAAACTTCAAAAAGTTAATATAACGTCCTAACTGTAATATAAAAATGAGAAATAAATCTATAACAAGTATTCCAATACAACTAGCAGGCAGTGTCTTAATGTCTTAAATACCAAAAGCAGCCTTGCTGTGGGTGATGTGATTTTTTGAAATGGTTACTAGCTCTTAGGTTCTGAACAAATCAATTCAATTGTATTCTGGGAAAACTCAGGGTTCACTTATGTAGTCATAATACTGCTCACCAATATCCCCAGTTCTCCTTTTCCCAGACAGTAGTAGGATTGGACTTGCTAAGTCCCTTGAAGTTGGAGGTGGCATGTGACTTGCTTTGGCCAATGAAAATGTGTGTAAGTGAAATTTGTCACTTCAGGGTTGAGGCTTTTAGTGTTGATGCAAAACTCTGCTGGCAGTGATGGCACCTCCCTTAGCGCAGCGTGACGAGAAACAAACTTTTGTTGCGTTAAGCCACTGAGATTTGAGGGTTACTGCAGCAGATGACACAAAAAAAGGAGTTAGTGTTTTCATGCCAAATGGAATTAGGTTCCAGGCTCTGATCATTATAACCAGGCTTTTCACCTACACGAACAGCCGGTGGCATTGGGAAGTCCTGAAGGATACTGGACAATTGTTTGTTATGCCAGATTACCTAACACCCCTGTCCACCCCACTCCGTAAAGACAACTAGCACCCTTTCAATCATTGTGACACACAAATTCCCCAGGCACTCCCCACCCTACTCTCCCCACAGAAAATAAGTGGGGGGCATAGTGGTTAAGTTTGTGTGCTTTGTTTTGGCAGCCCAGGGTTCACAAGTTCGGAACCCAGGTATGGACCTACACAGTGCTTATCAAACCATGCTGTGGCAGGCATCCCACATATAAAATAGAGGAATATGGGTACAGATATTAGCTCAGAGCCACTTTTCCTCAGCAAAAAGAGGAGGATTAGCGGTGGATGTTAGCTCAGAGCTAATCTTCCTCAAAAAAAAAGAAAAGAAAAGAAAACAACTGACCTTTAGTTAAGACGGGTTAGGGGCTGGCCTGGTGGCACAGCAGTTAAGTTCCCACGTTCCGCTTCTCAGCCGCCTGGGGTTCGGCGGTTCAGATCCCAGGTGCGGACATGGCACCACTTGGCACGCCATGCTGTGGTAGGCGTCCCACATATAGAGGAAGATGGGCACGGATGTTAGCTCAGGGCCAGGCTTCCTCAGCAAAAAAGAGGACTGGCAGTAGTTAGCTCAGGGCTAATCTTCCTCAAAAAAAAAAAAAAAAAAAAAGAGGGGTTAGTCCACCCCTCTCCTAAGATGCCAGAACTCAGGCTTCTAAAGGGGCAGCCATCAGGAAATATACTCTGACTTGCCAAAGCTTCCAATGTTTCAAGAGAGGGCCAAAATCCAGATTTTTGTGTGACATCTGTTGATGTCTAAATATTTGCAACAACTTAAAAATCTTTTTAATTTAAATGCTCTGAGAGTCACACAAAATAGTTCTCCTAGTATGATGAGGCCCACATCCGGCACTTTGCAAACAAAGTGTCAAATTGTCACTAAGTGTCCCAAGGAACTCAAGACTGGGTTCTCGAATATTTAACTGTTTAAGAGATGCAATCACCAACCACCTTCAACCAGACCAACCCTAACAAAGGGAGCTAGGCCTATGACCTTTGCCTCATTTTTAATGCTAAGATCTCTCCAGGAGGAGCTTAGGCCTTATTGCCATCACCTGCAGTGGGTGTGGAAGCATGTTTTCCAACTGAGCCTGCACAAGAGGAACTCCGGGTGCCATCACTTGGAAAAGAGTCCGTGTGCCCTCCTATTTGCTGCAAATAAGCTCTACTTTGTGGGACAACTACTTCTGGTCCAGAGTCTGAGTTTAACTCACCAGGAGGCGAACCCACTTTGGGTTGGGAAACAAAAAGTTAGCGAAATGTGAGTTTCTATTTGGCCAAAGTCCCTTCTTTTCCAAGTGAGGAAACGGACTGAATGATTTTGTACAAGTGGATGGCGTCTTGCCCAAGCTGTGCAGTTGGATAACAGAGAGTCATCACAATTGCTAAAGGCTGCACGTACTCCTGAGAGCAAGATCCCATCTCACACTGGGCCTTGGAATCCCAGTCCACCAGTGTGCTCTTTCCTGCCAAGCCATCGCATTTCCTTATTTAATTTTAAAAAGTCCTTCTTTCCTGACTCGCCTGTCCCAGACTTTCCTTACGGGCCCTTTTAGGGCTTGCTCTGAAGCCTACTGCAGAAAAATGACGAAGTAGAAAAAGTAAAATATGAAATGAAAGTTAAAAAGAGGAAACAGGGTCAAAACGACGGCTGTGGCCCGGGGCTGTGCTCCCGGCGGCCCGCGCGCGACTCCAAGGGAGAACGCCCAAGAGTAACTCCGCGCAAACCGGTCCTCCCGCCTGCTGGAAGCTTGGGTGCCTCTCATGTTAGGACCGTACTTTCCTGAACCTCTTTAAGTTGAAAGAAAGGCAAGCAGGGCTGGGAAGAGGAAGAACATTGCCAACGGGGCAAAAAAAGAGCGACAAAGGAGCCAAAGCACCCTCCCGCGTGCCGCCCGCGCCCGCCCGCGCCGAGTCCGCCGCCTGCCGGAGCCACGTGACGCGGCCAAGATGGCCGACGGGGAAGACGGCTGCCCGGCGGGGCGGGAGCGGGGGCCGGAGCCGGGGCCGGGGCCGGAGCCGGGAGAAGAGTTCGAGATCGTAGACCGGAGCCAGCTGCCCGGCCCGGGAGAGCTGCGGAGCGCGGCGAGGCCGCGAGCGGCGGCGGACGGCTGGTCCGCGCCCATCCTGACCCTGGCGCGCAGGGCCACCGGCACCCTGTCGGCGAGCTGCGGGAGCGCGCTGCGCGCGGCCGCGGGGCTGGGCGGTGCGGACGGCGGCGCCGACGGCGCGGCGCGCGCAGGTAGGCTCGCCGGGCGCGCGCGTGCTACCCGCGGGACCGCGGCCGTTCGCGGCGGCCGGGGCTGGCCACGGCGGTTAGCCGGCTCGGCCTGTTAGACGAGCTGTTGACCAGCCTGTCGCCTGGCCCGACGACTCGCCTGTTTTCTTCATGCTGTGCAGTCAGGCCGAGGTACAGACGCGGGGGCGGGGGGCCTGAGATCGGGGCGGCGCCGTACCTACCCCTCCCTTCTGTGTTCCCCAGACAGCGTCCTCACTCCCATTGGTGGGCTGTAGACTAAGGAAATTTACTAGTGTAAGCTTCGGTAGTCAGTGTTCATTTTAAAAGTACATAGGAAATGATCCAGTATTGGTTGCTTTAAGGGTCAAAATGCCAGCCCAGCTCACACCCCCGGGTGTTAGCGCCTCCCGACCCCCCGCGGAGTCGAAGCGCCAAGGCGGCAGTCGGCAGGTGCGGGTTCCAGGCGAGCTGTACCAGCAACTCGCTCTGTGATGTAGACAAGTCAACCACATTTCCCAGCCTGTAAAATAGGATTCTTTCACCCGGTTTTCACCCGATGACCTCTTACAGTCCTTTTCAAGAATAGAGTTTCAGCCTGTCAGTAAGGAGAATGGTAACATTAACTGATTATGATATTGAATGTTGCTTAGAAAGCCCTATAAAGCCAGATATTTAGAGCTGTGCTAACCAATACAGTAGCACTACCCATATGTGATGCTTAAATGTTAAAATTAAATTAAAAATTCAGTTGTATCTTCATAGTGCTGTGGGGTAGAGCTGACTAAAGACTAGCGCTAAGAAGCATGATTATGTGCCTTTGAGGTTTCTTGATTCCCTCCTATCCACTGGTAAATTTGCTGTAGAAGTCATCACTGAGGCCAGAATAGTGAATTGTGAGAATTACAGTGGTTAAGAAAGATTAATGAGTAGAGAAGTTTAAAAGCTGACTTGTGAGATTCTGGAAATGGAAAGTAGGACTAGGAGGTAATGAGGAATCCTGTTCAACCCAGGAATCTGGTTCCAACCAGCTCACCACCTTTGCACATGTCAGTGGGTGTTAGACGGTAGACCCAACCAACGGAAGTCAGTCTGAGAGGGAAGGCATGGGGTCTTCTGGAGGCCTCTTAGATACTTCATGGCACACAGCAAGCAAATTATAAATGTTAGCTGTTGACTGATAAATAAAATGTGCCAGTGCCTAGAAAAGTGCCTAACACAGAATAACATTTGTTGAACAAATGCACAGTTGAAAATCACTTGTTTTCCATTTATAGTAGTGCTATAAGTAATAGCCAACACTGATATTGCACTTACTGGGTGCCAGGTATTAGTCTTAGATCTGTACATACATTGATTCACTTCATCCTCCTAATAATCCTAGATGACAGCAAGGCTGGCTTCATGGTATGCAATTCATGCAGGCTTTGATCAGTGTGGTCACCCAGGGCCAGGCACTCAGAAGTGGTCCACACTTGAAATTCTTACTAATTTTATCTTTGAATTTATGTTTTGTAAGTGAAGTTCAGTGGAACAAAGGAGCATGCGTGAGGGCCTTGGAGCTGGGCTCATGTGTGGTTCCACCTTCCGCTACCCCCCTGGGACAAGTTCTCAGGCAGCATGGCCCACTCAGACTGCCCTGGGGCTTCTTCCCACCCCTCCCTGACCCTACTCCATGACTACTCCTGGCCCTGGGAGAGTTGAGGTCACGCCCTCTGAATCTCAGGGCAGGGCAAGGTGTCTGCCATCTTACCCCAGGGCTGGCACTGCCACAGCACGTTAGGCAGGCAGCTGGGCAGGGGCCTCTTGTCCACCCAGCCAGATACTACCTCCTTGCAGGAAGTTGTAACCCCTTAGGACTGTGGGAAGAGGAGATTGACTTGTGAGCCGGCCCCATGTGATAGGTTTTGTTATTATCCCCATCTTATAAAGACGGAAACTGAATTAAAGAGAAGTAACTTGACCAAGTTACTTAGAAGTAACTGAGCTAGGACTTGAACCAAGACAGTATTCCCCTCGAGCCCACGCAGTTAGTCACAACACTTCAACGCCTCGATGCCTTTAAATAACTTTATAAGCAAAATGCCGTAATATATACCATATGGATTTTTTAATTAGTCAATTTAAAGAAAATATTAAGTAAGTCACTGCCACTCAGATCTGGCAAAAATTGTGAACATGGCTTACTAAGGGCTGAAATGTCGAGAACTGCTGGGATGAGCTGTGTGGCTAGTCCCCAAAGGTAACCAGAATTTGAAGCCAGCAGGTGGGACAGGAGTGGGGGTGGGGGTGGGAAAGGTTCTGCAGAAGCTTCAGAAAAGCAGGTTAGGAGAAGGAGCAGCCACCACTTCAGCCAGGGCCAGGCCCAGGCTGCCTCATTTCGTCTCTCTTCCATTATGTGCTTACACAAGCAGTGAGGAGGGAGACTTTTCAGAGGGAGCACTGAGAGGCAGAGATGGAAGGTGAGCAGCACTCTCGCCAGGTAAAATGTGTTTGGTAACAGAGGTTTAAGGAAAATGCTGTGGAAGGTTGTGTAATGCTTTGATACTTATTTTTGTTATCCTGTGTGGGGTCTGGTAGCACAGCATGCCACAGTGTTTGCGTTCTCTGTGGTTGTCTGGTTTGGTTTGTTGTTGTTTTAGATTGGCACCTGGGCTAACATCTGTTGCCAATCTGCTGTTGTTGTTGTTGTTTCTTCTCCCCAAAGCCCTCAGTACCTAGTTGTAGGTCTTTCTAGCTCTGCTGTGTGGGACGCTGCCTCAGCATGGCCTGATGAGCGGTGCTAGGTCCGCGCCCAGGATCCAAACTGGTGAAACCCTGGGCCACTGAAGCGGAGCGTGGGACCGTAACCACTCGGCCATGGGGCCGGCCCCTTATTGTTGTTTTAAGAAATAAATGCACATGGTAAACAAAGAAATCAAAGCCATACAAAAGGACATTCAATGTAGAGGAAGTCCTCCTTCCCAGAACCTGTCCCCAGTCCTACTGGATCTCTCAGACTGTCTGGGCATGGAGCACGTGCTCACATGTCACCAGTTTCACACAAACCACAGGACAGACACTCGATTCTCCATCCTGCTTTCTAGAGTGAGGCCTCCTCCTGAAGGATGGATAACGTGTTCAGAATGAACATCTCGCATGTCGGGACTCCCTCACTGCAATTTTCTAACTATTGAGCTATCTATTTGCCATGGGGTAGGTGGTGTATGTATTACGCCGTTCTCTGTTCTCTTCCATGGCAAATTTTATTTTCCATGTGTCAAAACGCTCCTGCACAAGTGGTGCAGCACCTTCCAAAATGAAGCACAATAACTTTTCCACTCCACATTGCTGAGCTCCTTAAGTCAGCCATTGAGATGATAAGTGAAAATTCCTGAAAATTAGCAAAGTGTCAGAATGGTTTTCTTCCTTGTCAGTACAGGATAACACCACACTATATGATAAGATCTTTCAAGATACCAGAGGGCTACTCAAAACTAAAACTCAAGTTTATAAAGAGTCTAGTCACTTCTGTATAATTCAGAACCTAGCAAGAAAATCTGTGCGGCCCCCTGCCCCTCCTCAGTACTTATTCTCTGTACCGAAGGTTACAACAAACTGGCAGCCCTTTGAGCTGTTGGTGGCTGGTAGTTGCATTTTTTTAATCCTGTACATTATAAAAGCATTTTTTTTTAATTTTTTAGCCAATTAGCAGTTTTTACATAAAAATGCAGAGCTCCGGCTTCTCCTGAAAACCCCGACCTGGCAGTGTTGACCAGATTCCCCCACAAGAGGGTTTCACTCAGCAGGGTTCCTCCCGTGCAGTCGCTGCGTACTCCCTCCAGCTCATCCCATACAGCCTCACTCATTCATGTTCCAGGTCCGGCACTGTGTGACAGTCAAGGTCAAGATCTCTGATCAGACCATTTATTTGGCAACTCGATAAGAGTACAACTTTGTGCCATTCTGTGTGTTGAACTATTATTAATGAAGGTGAGAGATGTGAATAGCTTGCCCAAGGCCGTAAAGCTAGTAAAATTGAGATGGACTGGCATAAAGATCCTCCCAGCTCGAATTTTCCATAACTCTCTAAATTGAGCATGCATGGGAATAGGTGACTAATGGAGCAAGGGTGTGGCCGCAGGACACTGCCACAAACAGTGGTGGGAGCCACTGCCACCCAGCTCTGATCTCCTAAAAACTAGTTTTCACAGTTTTGCTCATATGACACCCTAAAAGAATCTTCAACTTTTAAAATTGACATATAAAATTCTTCATCATAATTTTAAAGTTGAGAATACATTTTCTGGTCTATTGTAAATATTGACTTGTTAAAATAAAACGTACATCATTCTTTTAAGTGTAGCAAGTGGTATATAAATACCTTAATGATTTGATAAGCACTACTATCCATCTTAAAAATAAATAACGTTATTTAATATTTGAAAATTTTACATTTTTCCCTTTTATTCCTTGAACTTGAATTTCCATTCCACCCCATATGTTTTAAAATTTCTTATTGGTCATCCTATCATGTCTCAGCAAAAAGTATGTAAATAAATTAAAATTTAATAAATTTTTCTTTTTTTTTTAAAGATTGGCACCTGAGCTAACAACCGTTGCCAATCTTTTTTTTTTCTGCTTTATCTCCCCAAACCCCCCCATACGTAGTTGTATATCTTAGTTGTGGGTCCTTTCCAGCTGTGGCATGTGGGACACCGCCTCAACGTGACCTGACGAGCAGTGCCATGTCCGCGCCCAGGATCAGGATCCGAACCCTGGGCCGCCCCCGCGGAGAGCACAAACTTAACCACTCGGCCACGGGGCCGGCCCCTAATAAATTTTTCTTGTGACTAAAGCTCTAAGTGTATAGAAATTTTTTCTTTTGAAATGAATTACCATTAAAATCATTAGTAGTGCTAAGTTGATAAAAGGAATATAATTTTTATAAATAATTATACATAAATTTTTCTTGGAGTTGCTTCTCTTAATGAGCTGAATCGTAGGTGAATATATATGATTTATGATAAAATGTGATAGGACTCAGCATCAATTTTATTCCTATTTTTTGGTTTTTTATAGATGGGATCCCTGAGAAACCTGGTTCATATAAATAAATAGAAATGGACAGTTTTGTTATAGTAATATTGCTGAAGTCTTTGAACTCCAAGTTATATGCCCCAAATCACACCGATCTAATATCAAAAATTATATTTTTGTTCAAAGCAGATGAAAATCACCTGACTAGCAAAAGGATGCAACCTAGTCCTATTAATTCCTCAACCTCTGGGAAGCTCCCCAAAAAGGCTTGACCAAGACTTATCAAATGATAATAATACTTGTAATTATTTCAGTTAGTCATCTTGTTTAACCCAGAACACTCAAAATGGTTGGAGACATCTAAATATTGCTTGTTTCATTACTCCTTTGCCAATACAATCTTTTTTGACAAAAAGACTTAGTTTACATGTACTTCAAATCCATTTCCATCAAAAACTTGGACTACAGTCTTGGCTCATTTAATTTACGGAAGCTCCATCAAGTTAATGGCACATCCTAGGGAGGAGTGTTGAGACTAGCTGAAAATAATTGCATATATGTATATTGCGGGGGCTGGGGGGAGTTTAACTTTCTAAATTCAGGATACCCAGCAGAGGGCTAGAAACCGCCCCCTCCCCAGGCCAGTCTCCTTAACTAAGCGCAGTAAAGCGGCGGGAGACGGGAGCGCTTCCTAGCTTTGGCGACTTGATCATCGTCTAAGGAGGCTCTGTCCCCCCGCGTGGCCTTGCTGCACCCCAGGCCCGTGCGTCCGGACGAAGGTCCGAGGGAGTTGTGAACTGCCCGTCCTCTGTGGAGCGGAGAGAGTGTCCGTGAAACTTGCGGATCTGGAAATCGATTTTCTGAAAACATCTGGGCCTGCCTCGCCCTGGGCAAGGCTTCCTGGGTGTGTATTCCGATTCACAGACCTCTAGCTGATAGACCTGGGCTCCGTGTCTTCTTTAAAGGTGAATTTACAAATTGCTTCTGTTGTTACTGAGACCAGTAACCAGAAACCCTGTTCAGGCTTTCTCCCTCTTGATGAGGTTTTGCAATTTTTATTTCCAATGCCAATCATCGATTTCATTCGAGTTTGCAAATTTATAAATATAATACATAGGGTTCTCTCCAAATTTAAAAATAATTATATCACCCCCATTCAAATGCTTTAATTAACCCATTTTTCTCTCTCCACAACCAAGATGAAATGTTTAGGCCGGTCTTTCTTTCCCAGCTGCACTCTTCTTGGGTTTTGCTGACAGAATTTAGAAGTTTTAGTCCCAGATAGTCTCAAATCTCAATAATATTTACTTAATACCTTTTATAATTTATAATAATAAATTCATAGTCAAGATATCATTATTTTCTATTTCGCTATGTCTGTGTGTGTACATGTATGTGCTGTCGGCCCTCCGTATCCGCCGGTTTCCCAAGATCCGGGCTTGGTTCAATCCCCGGATGTGAAACCCGCGGACGTGGGGGCTGGGGGGCCGCCTGTGTTCAGTGAACCACAGCGGTTCAAAGGAGGGGCTTGAGCATCTGCGGATTTTGTGTCCGCGGGGGTTCTGGAAGCAATCCCCCACGGACACTGCGGGATGACTGTATGCTCTTTTAATATTTGTACGTCCATATTAATTAATGCCCAGGAAATAAAACGGGTAAACAAAGGATTCATATTCCAGAATATACATGTCAAGACAAAGGCAAACAATCCAACATGAAAGTTCCAAGACTTAGCAGGCAGTTCGCAGAAGAACTCCTAGGGCACGACAGCTCGGACAGCCGCTCTCCTGGGCGGCCGCGCCCGGCCCTGCACCGCTCGTCTCCGGGGCGCCGGCTTCGTCTCAGGCCTCCGGCGCTGACCGCGGACGGACGTGCTTATTCTCCAGGCGACAAGACCAGTGGAACTGACGCGGAAGGCGGCCGAGGTCACGTATCCTAACGGCCTTCCGTACCAGGTGTGCAACTCGTACCTGCCCGCCACCTGTGGCCGAAGGACAGGCAGCGGCGAGGCCCGCCGGGGCCGCGCTGCACGCAAGAGCGGGCTCCGGCCGCCTGCCGCCCCGACGTGGGCGTGGCCTCGAGCGCGGCTCGCCCAATAGGGATGGCGGGGGCGGGGCGCTCCTCCGCGCCCTCTAGTCTGGGCGGAGCTTCCCGGCGTTTGCCCCCTTCCATTGGCCGAAAACAGAACACGAGGGCCGTCGCCCTAGCAACGCGCGCAGCTGCCCGAGAGGGGCCTCTCGAGCCTGACCACAGGCCCCGCGGTCCAGGTGTGGCCGAGACCTCAGGGGATTGGGGGCCGGGCGACTGCGAACGTCAGCGGTCCGGCCGCCGGCAAGTCCGCGCTGCGAGCGGCCCGCCTGGCTCTGCCGGCGCGGCCTCCCTCCCTTGCCCGGCGTCCACCTCCTCACCCCGGACTACGCTGAGTCCACTCACGCGGCTGTTCCTGCCTCTGCCCCGCAGCTTCCAAGTGCCAGATGATGGAGGAGCGGGCCAACCTGGTGCACATGATGAAGCTCAGCATCAAGGTCTTGCTGCAGTCGGCCCTGAGTCTGGGCCGCAGCCTGGACGCGGACCATGCCCCCTTGCAGCAGTTCTTTGTGGTGATGGAGCACTGTCTCAAACACGGGCTGAAAGGTGAGCCTGCGGGGCGCTCGGGCGCGCAAATGGGGCTGGCTGTTTGCTCGCCTTTATTCTTCAGTGCCAGACATTGTTCCGAGCGCTAGATAACAGCTGTACACAAACAAACGAGGGACCTGCCCACAACTGGCGACCCTCCAGGGCGGCGCCGTCCAACGGACTTGCCGTCTAAGCCACATGTGCGATGTTTAACGTGTCGGTAGCCACATTAGAAAAAGTAATAAACAGGTGAAATAATTTAATAATATATTTTATCGAACCCAGTATATCCAAAATAGTATTTTGACACATAATTAGTATTAAAAGCCTTATTAATGAGATATTTTACATTCTTTTTATACTGAGGCTTAAAAATTCACTGTGTTTTACACTCCCCATCTCAGTTGCACTAGCTACCTTTCAAGTGCTCAGTAGCACGTGTGGCTAGTGAGTGCCTCGGACAGCACAGTTCTAGAGGAGAAGGCAGACAGTAAACTCAGAAACAAACAAACATAATTACACAGTGCTACAAATTCCAGGAAGCAAAATGCGTTAAATGATAGAGAATCAAGGAAGAAGCTTTTCAGCTAGCGTGAGAGGGGAAGGTCTTTCTGGGGAGGTGAAATATGGGCTGAGACCTAAAGGAGAAGAAAGAGTCAGGCAGGCAAAGATCTGAGGCAAGAGCATTCCTAGCAAAAAAAAAAAAAACAGGTGCAAAGGTCCTGAGTGGGACCAACCTTGGTTTGAGGAAAACACCAGGTACCTGAAAGGGAGGCGCTGAGGTCAGGGAAGTGGGGCAGCTGGACGGTGTAGGCCTTTATAGGTCAGGTGAGGAGCTGGATTTGATTCTGAGTGTATTTGGAGGATATTAAGCAAGGGAATAACGTGACCTGACTTACACTTTTAACAAAACTTCCAGTTGTGGAAAACAGATTGTAAAGTTGGGGCGGTGACAATATTAGGAGCAGGGAGACCCATCAGGAGATTATTGCAGCAGTTCAGATGAGGGGTGGTGGCTATGATTTGAAATCAAGCCTTGATTTGGGCATCAGGTAGGAGGGGAAAAGGGGAAGGATTTCATAGGTGATTATTAGAGGCACGTTTTTTATTTTATGGGTGATAATTACTTGGAGAAAGAGCATAGTAGGTATATCAGAGAAACCCTGTCACCAGAGGAAGGGAGAGCTAACCTGTGACTTGGCTTCTCCCGGTCCCAAGACTAAATCAAGAGGATTAAGCGGTGGAGCTCTGCTTTTGGCTTTTGGGGGAGACTGTGGGCCCCGAACACATTCTGCAACCTGTTCTTATGAATAACACTTCTGTTTTCCCTTTTAGTTAAGAAGAGTTTTATTGGCCAAAACAAATCTTTCTTTGGTCCTTTGGAGCTGGTGGAGAAACTCTGTCCAGAAGCAACAGATATAGCCACTAGTGTCAGAAATCTGCCAGAATTAAAGTGAGTGAGTAGTAGTTATATTGATTTGATGTTTAAAAAAACTCCTTTGTGGGGCCGGCCCAGTGGAGCAGTGGTTAAGTTTGCACGTTCCGCTTCTCAGCGGCCTGGGGTTCACCGGTTCGGATCCCGGGTGCGGACATGGCACCGCTTGGCAAGCCATGCTGTGGTAGGCATTCCACATATAAATTAGAGGAAGATGGGCACAGATGTTAGCTCAGGGCCAGGCTTCCTTGGCAAAAAGAGGAGGACTGGCAGTAGTTAGCTCAGGGCTAGTCTTCCTCAAAAAAAAACACAAAACTCCTTTGTACTTACCAATTTCTCAATTCCTTGCTGATAAAACATTTTCTAATTTAGAACAAACTGTAGCGTGAGCCACACTCAGACTTTCGTCCCAGCTCTGCTGCTCATAATTCACATGATCTGGAGCAAGATGTGCCCCTCTCTGAGCCTCAGTTTTCTTTAAAATGGGGCCAGTGATTCCTGCTTGCCACACAAGATCACCTAGTTTGAAAAGGTGTTGTCGTCACCCAAGGAGCATTTCTAGGAGGAAAAGGAGTCATTGTCCTGGAATCACTGCTTTGCCTAATCTGGACAGTTTTCTGCATACAGTGTGGACCAGATTTTAGATTCCTGGACAAGGGGCATTTGTGAATAGGCTGAGACTAACGAATCCTTTGTCATGTCTGGGTTCACCCTTGGGATCCCTGTGCATAGGCTCAGAATCAAAAACTGAACAAAACACAAACAAGGCGTCCTTATAGAATCTGGTATTTAGAAGGGGCCCTAGAGATCCCTGGGCTGATGAGAAAGAGCCACCTCAGTCTCCCACAGCGGGCTCAGCTATGCAGCTTCTGTTTCATGCATTTTCAGAACATAATAGTCACCACCATTTACGAAGGGCCTGCCTCATGCTAGACACAGTGCTAAGGACATTTCATCATCTCCCTTAATCCTCCACAACAAGCCTGTAAGAGAGCTGTAGGTGCCTCCACCTGCAGGTGTGGGAACTGAGACTTGAGGGTGGGGAAGTGATTTACCTCAGCAAGGAGGGCTGGAGCCAGGAACAGGGCACAGGTCTCTTGGACTCTGAGACCCTCCAAATCCTACTCCACTCCATTGCTGCCGAGCCCCATGCATTCCTCTCAAGATGGGACTGAAGTCTCTGTCCCTGCCCCTAGGCTCCCAGCCCTCTGGGCCTCTTCTGCTCGTGACAACCTTTCAGATCTTCACTTGGTGGCTCTCAGTAGCTGGTGCCACCCCCCGCCCCACCACATTTCTACAGTTTGTTCTCTGGGGGAGGGATGCCCATCCCCTTTGACTAGCTCACGCCCGCAAGAGTACAGCTCCTAGACCAAGTGTCCTAGTGTGTTCTTTTTTTTTTTAAGATTTTATTTTTCCTTTTTCTCCCCAAAGTCCCCCAGTACATAGTTGTATATTTTTAGTTGTGGGTCCTTCTAGTTGTGGCATGCAGGATGCCGCCGCAGCATGGCCTGATGAGCGGTGCCATGTCCGTGCCCAGGATCCAAACGAGCAAAACCCTGGGCCGCCGAAGCAGAGCGTGAGAACTTAGCCACTCGGCACGGGGCCGGCCCCCTCCCAGTGTGTTCTGACTGGAGTGGAGCAGGGCTGTCCCTCCCCCTTTCCGATGATGCACGGGAGGCATTTTTGAAGTCTTGTTATGCTAACTCAGAGCTCACTGTCTCCTATGCCCACTACCTCTGTTTCCTCATTACCCCTGTGGATACTTAACAAGTGACAAGCTTAAACGGCAAAACCCTCCCTGTCCGCAGGAAGGGAAGTACCTGTGGCTCCCTCTCTGGGCGCCTTGCGAGGAGCGGCTTCACCAGCCAGCTGGGAGAAGACTGCTGCTTTGCTCCATAAAGAGCTGCAGTATTTTTACTGTTTCATTAAATAGTAACCAAGGTTCTAAAATGTCGACAGTATTTTGGAAGTTATGACCCGTGTTTTTTGGGGGAAGAGAATGGTTTACTCTAAGGTATTTTGAAAGTCACAGGATGAATTTTGCATCCTGAGAATCTCGCTAGAGTTTAATTCTCTTGTCTAAGTGAGATAAAAAATATCTTTTACAATATGGCCTATCACCCAAAATTTCTCATTGTTTTCATGTCCTGGTTTGTCATTGAACATACCTCTTCAACGAGGTATACCCATCCTACATATTAGCACTTAGAGATGAGGCTTCTCTCTCTTCTTTGAAAATTAAAAATAATCTTTAATTCTTATTACCTAATTTTTAATTAGAAAATAAAAAACAAGCAAAAAAATGCTTCCATTAGTCCACTACTCAGGAAGAATCCCTACAATTAATATCTTGGTCAGTATCCTTCCAGATCTTTCGATGCTACCCCAGACTCCTCGGCTCTCCGTAACAGAAATCAAGGAGCGGCCCCACCACAGCCTCAGGCTCTCTGGGGCTCACGCTGAGCACAGGGACACTGCACAGGACACGCGTCTCTCTGGCTGCTCCCCAAAGGGGTCGTCCTGCGCCTTTGACGGGGGAGGGGAGCTGCCCGGCGTCTCCAGTCCCCTCGGAGGCGTTGCGCTTCCCTCCCCCTGGTGGTGTCCCCCTCGCAGGTCCCCACCGGGCGGTGGTCCCTGCACCTGCCCAGCAGGTCCAGCGGGGCGGGGTTGCGCGCTCACTGCGCCGCCCCAGGAAGGCCGGAGAGGGGTCCCCCGAGGCTTGTGCGCATGCGGGAGTCGGCTGCTCCTGGCGGGAGCTGTGCTGTTGGAAGGCTGTTTGTCTGGGCTGCAGGAGTGGCAGGGCGGGGAGGTGCCGGCCTGGTGGTCAAGGGGCGGGGGCTGAGTCCCGTGCCTGTTCTGGCTCCCTTTCAATGCATAGACAAATAGGTAAGATTCTATTTTTGTTCTCACTCCCCCATGGCATCATATTGCACTCACCTTGTGAAGGGCGGTTTGACAGATGCACCAAAATCACCAATGCTTCTACCCTCTGACCCAGCAATCCCACTTCTAGTCCTTTTGCCCTAGAGTACTAACGCGTGAAAATGACACATGTACAGAATTATCTATTGCAGCATTATTTGTAACAGCAGAAGATTAGAAACAGCCTGGGTAGCAGCCAGCTAAATAAAATATGATGCAGTCCAATAATGAAACACTTTAAAGCTGTAAAAAACAAATGAGAAATACCCTGTATATAGAAAGATAATCAAGAATACGTACTCGGTGAAATAAACAAGTTGGAGAACAGCATGTATAACTTGTTAATTTTTTTGTAAAAGGGGCAGAAAAATAAGAATTTATATTTGTACTTGTTTTCACATGCATAAAAATGTTTTGGAAGTGAACCTAAACTATGAACAGTGTATTAATGTATGGGGAGAGGGAACAGGGAAAAGATTATTAAACCATACATAATGTTTTGTAGGCTTTTTTCCATTTAATATTAGATTTTAAGCCTCTTTCCATATCAAATATTCATCCGTGACATCATTTTTGAAGTGGTCACATAGGTTTTGTGGTTGTCTGCAAATTCTCATTATCCAGACAGTGCAGTGGTGACCGCCCCCAAACATGCATCCTAAAATTATTTCCTTAGGAATATTACTAGACGTAAAATTGCCTGCTGGAGAGTTCTTCCAGTTTACACTCCCACCGAGTTGCACGTGTCAGTGTCCTTGTTTCACCTCATTGCCAACATTAAATATCTTTTTCCTACTTTATTTCGTGTCCTTTTTACTCTGTAACATCATTTATTGGGGGGAGGGGGCATGTTCCAAAGCCTTGGTGAAGTGCGGTTAACCCTCCTGGACCCAGCCCTGGAACCCCCAGGGCCCAGCGAGGCCTGCAGCCCTGGGCTCCCTCTGAGGCCGATGAGGCGGCAGTGCCTCCGGGCTGTCCGGGAGGGTGCAGGTGACTGCTCTGCCTAGAACCGTCTTTTTCCGTAAACAGTGTTGGGTCTACAGCTGGGAGGCTTTTTTCCCCTCCCCAAAGCTCCACTACCTAGCTGTATATTCTAGTTGTAAGCCCTTCCAGTTCTTCTCTGAGCTGCGGCTCCAGCAGGCTGCCCACAGACGAGGGTGAGGTTGGGCGACTGGAGCGGCCCCGGCCGCCGCAGCGCAGCGCGCCTGACTTTACCTACTAGGCTGTCAGGATTGGCTCTTTTATTCACTTCTGATTTTCACAGCAGGCCTTTTCAAAATTGACCTGTGAGATCGGTTGCACGACAATGTAAATGTACTTAACACTACTGACCTGTACGCTTAAAAAGGTAAATTTTATGTGCATTTTACCACAATTAAAAATAAAATTACACTTTTGAGCTAATGCCTTAGAAATCTTGTGAGACTTCAACACTTTAACAAGCACTATGTTCTGTATATTAGTCTTTTGAAAGAATGTGTATCCATTATACAAATCTAATCTGATATATACTGGCTCCCTGTGAAATTTTATGAGTATATGCAAAGTTTTGTCTAATTGTATTTGTTCCAGAAATCAGATTTTTGTGGCTTAAGATTTTTTTCCTTTTTTTGTGGGGAAAAGAAACTCATGCGCATGATACAGAATTGAAACAACCCAAAGGAAGGCAGTGAGCTGTTTTCTCAGCCTTCCCAGGCGGGGGCACCCCTCCCACTCCGAAAGCAGCTGTTCTTAGCGCACTCTGCAGTCACAAGCATGCGTGTGTGTGAGCCTGTGTATCTCTTTGGCTAAATCGAGTTTTTTTCTTTGTTATTTGTTGTTACACCATCAGTTTGCTTCTGTTTGAATTCTAGGACGGCTGCAGGAAGAGGCCGAGCTTGGCTTTATCTTGCTCTTATGCAAAAGAAACTGGCAGACTATCTGAAGGTGCTGATAGACAGTAAACATCTCTTAAGGTATTTTGTCACTTGTCTTTGCTTGTCTTTTGCTTTGTAAATAGTTAGAACACACTTCTGTAGATGATTTTGAGTTAAAACAAGAGTGTGTGATGTACACAGCTGTTAGTCAAATTATTACTAATCGTAAATATTCTGTGGCTTGGTTTTAAAACAGCAGCATTTCATTTTTTGAGAATTGATATCTGCAAGTCATTTATGAATGAAGAGTCATATTACTTTTCATTTTGAAAAGTCGTCTTGAAGATAATTCTTCAAAAATGCCTATGATTAGGGACCTGACTGGCTACTCCATTAAGTTTCAGCACACTGGTGTTATTAGCTCGGATAATAACCAAAAAAATGACTTTAGAACTAGATACAGTGGCAATTTTAAAGTATAAAACCCTGCTTTGGACAAGAGAATATATGTGTGTTATCTATTTTAGGATTCCATATCCAGTTTGTAAAATTTTATATCTCTTAATAAAAACTAACTGGCCATCTCTGAAATTTATGACTGGTTCATTTTTGATATTTATAACAATATAGGCAAAAATAATCATTATAAAAGGCATTTTCTCTAGAATATGACAATTTATAAGGGAAGAATCTCTCTAGAGCCAGTTCTCTTGTCTAATAGAGAGAAAATGTCTTTTACGGTATGGCCTGTCATCCAGAATTTTTCATGTTTTCAAGTCATGGCTTATTGTTAAACATCTTTACATGATAAATGCTGATTTCAAATATTTCATGTACTCTGTACTTTGAATGCAGTTATACTGAGTAACTTTACAATACAGATTTTGTTCTAATGAGCTAATTCTTTAATAAGTTCTCGTGCACTCACACGCACATAATGGTAAATTAGCAAATCGTTGGTGATCAGAAGCAGTGATAGACAGAGGATGGAGCCCTGCTGCAAACGGCTGAGGTGACTGGGAGACAAGGAAGTAACAGCAGCCAGGGTTATGTGGTTTATTCTTGGATGTGGAGGCTGTGCGGTTCCGCTTCCTATTGATATGAGTGTACTTCTACACAGCAGTAGTTCGCAGCAACACAGAAGGAGCCAGGGGACGGGAGGGGCCGAGTGATGGTCAGGAACACAGGAGCCAAGAGGAGATGAGAAAGACTAGGGTCCAGGGTCCAAACGGAAGAGTTCGCCTTAGACAGGAGTTGGGAGGAGCCCATACTAAGCCACAGGGAGAGAGGAGAGGCCAGAGAAGAAATAGCAGCACTTGAAGCAAGAGAGGGAAATGAAAGACAGGAGATTCACACGAGGGAGCTTCTGGCTCCTGGTGAGGTTGGAAGCCAGGCCATCAGCTGAGAGGTGAAAAGGCAGGGCAGGTGGGGGCGAAGGGGTGATAAAGGTATTTCTGAGCAGCTCCCCTGGCCTGTCAATCTCTTTCAGTGAGTTTTATGAGCCAGACGCATTAATGATGGAGGAAGAAGGGATGGTGATCGTTGGTCTGCTGGTGGGACTCAATGTTCTTGATGCCAATCTCTGCTTAAAAGGAGAAGACTTGGATTCTCAGGTAAAATGGGAATTTTGGCCCTAGATGGAATGCCTTCCTTAGGCCAGGGGTTTTACGTAAGATCTACAGACATGTGCTGAACCTAAGAAAGGGACAAATGGCAACGGGCCCTCTGATAGGGGGCTGTGCAAGGTGCCATGCTAGGCCAGAGGGAGAAGCAACCAGGGAAGGTCGCAAGGAAGGGTGAAGAAATAGCTTGGTCAAAAGGCACAGAGGCACACACAAAAAGCACAGTATGTTTGGGAACAGGAAACAGATCTCTGTGGCTGCAACACAGGGTCCTCGATGAGTAAGGTGAAAATAGAGGCTGGGCCCGGGTGTTAGGCCATCAATGCCATGCTAAAGGGTTCAGCTTTCGTCCCTGGAGCTTTGGGAAGCAATTGGAAGTTTTTCAGCAGTACACTGAGATGATCAGGCCTGGGTTTGAGAAAGATCAATCTAGCAACCATCCAGTAGCAACTCATCTACTTCTAACCATGAGTTGGAAATGGGCAAGAACTGAGACAGCAAAAACATTGAGCAGACAAGTCTAGAAGTCCCCAAAGGCTGGATGGGGTTGGGAAGATAGAGTTAGGACACATTTGGGAAGTCAGGTTGATAAAAGGAGATACAAACGAAAGTTGTCAGTAAGGCGCAAAGCGTCCTGTGGAGTGAGACAGCCCTCTAGGGGTAGCCTTTCCCCCTGCATGGGAGCCGGTGACCAGGGCTGAGGTCTAAACTCCTGGTGGCAGGATTGTAAATGTCTGAGGAGGACAGACCCCCTGACCCATCCTCACTTCCACCCCTCTCCATGGCACCTGTGGCTGTGGCTAGGCCGCTGCCAGGCCTTCTTCCCGCCATGTTTGGATCTGAAGAATCTAAAGCTTCCTCAATACTTCTGTGCCCAGGTCACCTTTTTTTTTTTTTTTTTTTTTGGTAACCTCTCCTCCCATTTTTTTTCAAAGTTTTGTTGTTTTTGCATGTTGAAAAATTTTCAAAAAGTACAGAGAAGGATTTTTAAAAAGAAACAAAATATCACACACAATCCCATTACTCAGAGACAGAGAATTCAGTGTCATGATTGGGTATGTATTCTTCCAGCACACGAATAAGGGGGGGCGGGGAGTGTATTTATTTTAGAGAGCAAGAGATTTGCAGATTTCTTTTTTATTTAACCAAAATATGATTATTCCAAGCACAGCATTTTGTAATTTTTTTAATTTAACAATATGTCCCATATAGCTCTCAATGTCAATAGAGATGTAAACCGCTTCAAATGCATACTGTTCCATGTGATGAATGATGAATGATGAACTTTATTTAATCAACACTTATGAACTTAGGTTGTTTCTCTCTGATAAGAGCAATATTATAGACGTCCTCATACCTCTTTGTACTCTTGTCTGTTCATTTCCCTAGGATAAATTTGGGGCTAGCAGTGTCAAAGTATACACATTCTACATGAGTGTTGTGATGATATGATGAGCGTTCTTGGCCTTTTTCAATCTGATAAACAAAACAGCTCTTCATCTCAAATGTACATTCTCAGGAACTTAAGAGGGGGCAAGGATTTTTTTCATGTTTTAATTTGCCATTGGTCGTTCAGCTTTTGTGATTATCTGTTCACATCCTTTGCCCATTTTTCTGAGTTTTCCATCTTTTTCCACTCCTTTATTATAAATTAAGGTTATTAACCATTTGTCAGAATATTTTGTTATTTTCTTTTCTACTTCCTCAGAGCTAGTTTTCCCTGTAGATTTTTTCTTTTTTTTTTGAGTCAAATTTAATGGACTTTTTCCTTAGGCCTTCTAAGGTGGTATGCTTAGAAGGTCCTTCCCTATCTAAAAATTGACGTCATTTTTAAAATTAAATGTGTATTCTTTACATTTAAATAATCTACCTGTCATTTGTTTTGACATAGTGTGAAGTGGAAATCTAGGTTTCTTTTATAAGTAGTAAACCGGTTTTTTCAATATCACATATTAAATATATTATTTTCCTACTAATTTGAAGCTCCACCTTCATCCTGTGTGCAGTATCCATAGCGCACCGAGGCTCAGACCTGGACTCTGGCTAGTGCCTGGGTCTCTGTGCTCCTTCACCAGCAGCACGGGCCTTTAGTTACTGGAGCCTCAGGGTGTGCTTTTACGCTCTGGTGCTTCACCTCCTACCTGCCTACTTTAGTACACGCCTTTTTCAAATATGGTTAAGGCCGTCCATTCTGCCAGGTGAACTTGAACATCGTTTTGTCAAATTCCAAAATAATAGCTCGATTGGGATTTTTATTAAACAATAGAGGTGGTTGAGCCCTGGTCTCTTTCATCTTCAACACGATGCCTCTCGTACGTCTCCATGAAGTGTGAGTGCTTGCTGTTGATGTCTCGGGGATCCTCTTTCTCTTGTGTTGCAAGTGCTGTTCTAATCTACTTTACTTTGCGTTTTCATTAAAAATGAATGTTGAATGCTATCAAATACCTTTTTTGGCATCTGTTGAAATGTTGTACCCATTCTTAATACATAACTATTATTGAATTAATGCATGGGTTTCCTGTAGGGATATTATACCTGCATTCCTAAATAAGCCCCACTTGATCATCGTGCATTATTCCTCTAGTTGACTCCTAGGTTTAATGTATCTGTGGGTTATTTGGAATTTTCGTGTTTCATTTATTAGTGACACTCTTCTGAATTTTCCTTTTGTACACTGTCTGTCACTTTTCAGTGGGAGGATTGTATTAACCTCATAAAATAAGCTGGGTGATGTTCTTCCTTTTCCTGTTTTCTATAGCAGTTTATTAGAACAAAAATTATTTTTTCTCTGAAGGTTTCTTAGAACTCACTGGTATGAAGGCTTCAGCTTTATGGGGTTTTTTGTTTTTTAATTTTTTACTGAGGTCATAATAGTTTAGAACATGGTGAAATTTCCATTGTACGTTATTATTTGTCAGTCACCATATCAATGTTCCCCTTTACCCCTTTAGCCCACCCCCTACCCCCCTTCCCCTCTGGTAACCACTAAACAGTTCTCTTTGTCCATTTGTTAGTTTATCTTCCACATATGAGTGAAATCATACAGTGTTTGTCTTTCTCTGTCTGGCTTATTTCTCTTAACATAATACTCTCAAGGTCCATCCATATTGTTGCAAATGGGACGATTTTGTCTGTTTTTATGGCTGAGTAGTATTCCCTTGTATATATACATACCACATCTTCTGTATCCATTCATCAATCAGTGGGCACTTGGGTTGCTTCCAGGTCTTGGCTATTGTGACTAGTGCTGCAATGAACATAGGGGTGCGTAAGTCTCTTTGAATTGTTGATTTCAAGCTCTTTGGGTAGATACCCCGTAATAGGATAGCTGGGTCATATAACATTTCTATTTTTAATTTTTTGAGAAATCTCCCTACTGTTTTCCATAGTGGCTGTACCAGTTTGCGTTCCCACCAGCAGGGTATGGGTGGTCCCTTTTCTCCACATCCTCTCCAACATTTGTTATTTTTTGTCTTGGTGATTATAGCCGTTCTAACAGGTGTAAGGTGGTATCTTAGTGTAGTTTTGATTTGCATTTCCCTGATGATGAGTGATGTTGAACATCCTTCCATGTGCGTGTTGGCCATCTGTATATCTTCTTTGTAAAAATGTCTGTTCATATCCTCTGCCCATGTTTTGATCAGGTTGTTTGGTTTTTTGTTATTCAGTTGTGTGAGTTCCTTATATATATGGAGATTAACGCCTTGTCAGATATATGATTTGCAAATACTTTCTCCCAGCTGGTGGGTTGTCTTTTTGTTTTGATCCTAGGTTCTTATGCCTTGCAGAAGCTCTTTAGTCTGATGAAGCACCACTTGTTTCTTTTTTCTTTTGTTTCCCTTACCTAAGTAGACATGGTCTTTGAAAAGATCCTTCTAAGACCAATGTCAAAGAGTGTACTGCCTATATTTTATTCTAGGAGTTTTATGGTTTCAGGTCTTACCATCAAGTCTTTGATCCACTTTGAGTTAGTTTTTGTGTATGGCGAAAGATAATGTTTTAATTTCATTCTTTTGTGTGTGGCTATCCAGTTTTCTTAACACCGTTTTTTTTCTTTTTTCTTTTGGTGAGGAAGATTGGCCCCGAGCTAACATCTTTTGCCAATCTTCTGCTTTTTGCTTGAGGAACATTATCACTGAGCTAACATCTGTGCCAATCTTCATCTATTTTATATGGGATTCCACCACAGCATGGCTTGACAAGTGATGCTAGTTCCACGCCTGGGATCCAAACCTGCAAACCCCAGGCCTCCGAAGCAGAGTGCATGAACTTATCCACTATGCCACCAGGCTGGCCCCCCAACACCATTTATTGAAGAGACTTCCCTTTCTCCATTGTATGTTCTTTGCTCCTTTGTCGAAGATGAGCTCTCCGTAGATGTGTGGTTTTATTTCTGGGCTTTCAGTTGTGTTCCATTGACCTGTGTGCCTGTTTTTGTACCAGAACCATGCTATTTTGATCGCTATGGCTTTGTAGTATGTTGTGAAGTCAGGGATTGTGATGCCTCCAGCTTTGTTCTTTTTTCTCAGGATTGCTTTAGCTATTCGGGGTCTTTTTTGGCCCCATGTGAATTGTAGGATTCTTTTTTTTTTTTTTAAACAAGTTCTTTTTTTTTTTTTAATTTTATTTTTTTCCTTTTTCTCCCCAAAGCCCCTGGGTACATAGTTGTATATTCTTAGTTGTGAGTCCTTCCGGTTGTGGCATGTGGGATGCTGCCTCAGTGTAGCTCGATGAGCAGTGCCATGTCCACGCCCAGGATTCGAACTGACGAAACACTGAGCCACCTGCAGGGGAGCACGCGAACTTAACCACTCGGCCACGGGGCCAGCCCCTGAGTTGTAGGATTCTTTATTCTATTTCTGTGAGGAATGTCGTTGGGATTCTGATTGGGATTGCTTTGAATCTGTAGATTGCTTTGGGTAGTATGGACATTTTAACTGTTTGTTCTTCCAATTCATGTGCATGGAATCTCTTTCCATCTCTTTATGTCGTCATCAATTTCTTTCAATAATGTCTTATAGTTTTCATTGTATAGGTCTTTCACCTCTTTGGTTAAATTTATTCCTAGATATTTTATTCTTTTCGTTGTGATTGTAAATGGGATTGTGTTCTTGAGTTCTCTTTCTGTTAGTTCGTTATTAGAGTATAGAAATGCAACTGATTTTTGTAAGATGACTTTATACCCTGCAACTTTGTCATAGTTATTAATTATTTCTAATAGTTTTCCAATGGATTCTTTAGGGTTTTCCATATATAAAATCATATTGTCTGCAAACAGCAAGAATTTCACTACTTCCTTTCCAATCTGGATTCCTTTTATTCCTTTCCCTTGCCCAATTGCTGTGGCCAAAACCTCCAGTACTATGTTAAGTAAGAATGGTGATAATGGGCATCCTTGTCTTGTTCCTGTTCTCAGAGGGATGGCTTTCAGTTTTCCCCCATAGATTATGATGTTGGCTGTGAGTTTGTCATATATGGCCTTTATTATGTTGAGGCACTTTTATTCTACACCCATTTTATTGAGAGTTTTTATCATAAATGGCTGTTGGGTCTTGTCAAATGCTTTCTCTGTGTCTATTGAGATGATCATGTGGTTTTTATTCCTCATTTTGTTAATGTGGTGTATCATGTTGATTGATTTGTGGATGTTGAACCATCCTTGTCTCTGGAATGAATCCCTCTTGATCATGGTTTATGATCTTTTTAATGTGTTGCTGTATTTGATTTACCAATATTCTGTTGAGGATTTTGGCATCTTTGCTCATCAGCGATATTAGCCTGTAATTTTCCTTCTTTGTGTTGTCCTTCTCAGGCTTTGGTATCAGGGTAATTTGGCCTCATAGAATGTGTTAGGAATTGTTAGATCTTCCTCAACGTTTTGCAATAGTTTGAGAAGGATAGGTATTAAATCTTTGGAGGTTTGGTAGAATTCTCAAGAGAAGCCATCTGGTCCTGGACTTTTAGTTTTTGGGAGGTTTTTCATTACTGTTTCAATCTCTTTATTTGTGATTCATCTATTCAGATTCTCTATTTCTTCTTGATTCAGTCTTGGGAGGTTGTATGAGTCTAAGAATTTATCCATTTCTTCTAGGTTGTCCAATTTGTTGACATACAGTTGTGGTATCTGTTGTAACTTCTCCTTTTTCATTTCTAATTTTATTCATTTGAGCCTTCTCTCTTTTTTTCTTAGTGAGTCTGGCTGAGGGTGTGTCAATTTTGCTTATCTTCTCAAAGAACCAGCTCGGTTTCATTGATCCTTTCTACTGTCTTTTTTATTTCAATTTCATTTATTTCTGCTCTAATTTTTATTGTTTCCCTCCTTCTGCTGACTTTGGGCTTTGTTTGTTCTTCTTTTTCGAATTGTTAGATGTCATTTAAGATTGCTTATTTGAGATTTTTCTTGTTTGTTAAGATGAGCCTGTGTTGCGATGAATTTCCCTCTTAGGACCGCTTTTGCTGCATCCCATATGAGTTGGTATGGTGTATTTTTGTTTTCATTTATTTCACAGGTATTTTTTTATCTCTCCTTTAATTTCTTCAGTGATCCATTGTTTGTTCAGTAGGATGTTATTTAGTCTCCACATCTTTGTCCTTTTCCCAGCTTTTTTCTTGTGGTTGATGTCTAGTTTCATAGCATTATGGTCAGAAAAGATGCTTGATATGATTTCAATCTTCTTAAATTTATTGAGGCTTGCCTTGTTTCCCAACATATGGTCTATCCTTGAGAATGTTCCATGCTCACTTGAGTAGAATATGTATCCTGCTGATTTTGGGTGGAGTGTTCCATATATGTCTGTAGTCCATCTGGTCTAGGTTTAAGGGCACTATTTCCTTGTTGACTTTCTGTCTGGATGATCTATCCATTGATGAAAGTGGGGTGTTGAGGTCCCATACTGTTATTGTGTTGTTGTTAATATCTCCCTTTAGGTTTGTTAATAGTTGCTTTATGTACTTTGGTGCTCCTGTGTTAGGTGCATATATATTTATGAGTGTTATGTCTTCTTGGTGGAGCATCCCTTTTATCATTATATACTGCCCCTCTTTGTCTCTCGTTACCTGTTTTGTCTCGAAGTCTACTTTGATATAAATATGGCAATACCTGCTTTCTTTTGTTTGCTGTTAGCTTGGAGATCATCTTCCATCCCTTCACTCTGAGCCTGTGTTTGTCTCTGGAGCTGAGCTGTGTTTCCTGGAGGCAGCATATTCTTGGGTCTTGTTTTTTAATCCATCCAGCCACTGTGTGTCTTTTGACTGAAGAATTCAATCCGTTTAGGTTTGGGGTGATTATTGATATATGAGAACTTAATGCTTAATGTTCTTTTGCATTCCCTTTGTTTCTCATCCCATGTATTTCGGACTGCCAATTCAGTTAGGTAGTTTGCTGTGATGGTTTTCTTAGTTTTCTCTTTATTTATCATTTGTGTCTCTCTTCTGATTATTTGTTTAGTGGTTACCATTAGGTTTGTATAAAAAATCTTGTAGGTGAGATAGTCCATTTTCTGATGGCCTTTTATTCCCTTAGACTAAGCTGATTCCATCCCTTTCCTCTTCCCTAAGTTGTTATTGTCACAACTTATTCCATCTTGTGTTGTGAGTTTGTGGTTAAAATGACAAGATTATATTTATCTTTGGTGTTTTCCTTCCCTTTATCTTTAATGTTATAATTGTTTGCTAACCTGTTTTGTTAGCTGAAATTTTCTGATTTTGTTTACCTATTTATCTCCTTGTTCAAGGCTTTGTAGCCCCTTTCTTTTTCTTTTCAGGTATGAGGACCTTCTTGAGCATTTCTTGTGGGGGGGCAGTTCTTGTGGCAGTGAACCCCCTTAGCTTTTGTTTATCTGAGAAAAGTTTTATTTCTCCATCATATCTGAAGAATATTTGAGGATATCTGAAGGATATTTTTGCTGGATAGAGTATCCTTGGTTGAAAGTTTTTGAATTTCAGAATTTTGAATATATCATTCCATTCACTCCTAGCCTGTAAGGTTTCTGCTGAGAAATTTACTGAAAGCCTGATAGGGTTTCCTTTGTATGTTATTTTCTTTTGCCTTGCTGCCCTTAGTATTTTTTCTTTGTCATTGACTTTTGCCAGCTTTACTCATATATGCCTTGGAGAAGGTCTTTTTCATTGATATAGCTAGGATATCTGTTGGCTTCTTTCACTTGTATTTCCAGCTTCTTCCCCAGGTTTGGGAAGTTCTCAGCTATTATTTCTTTGAACAAACTTTCTGCTCCATTCTCCTTTCTTCTCCCTCTGGAATACCTGTAATCGTTATGTTGCGTTTTCTAAGTCAGTTGGATGTTTCTCAGAGAATTTCTTTCTTTTTTCTTCTTCTTCTTAGTTCCCTCTCCTCCATCAGAAGCCTTTCTGTATTTCTGTCCTCCAGACTGCTGATTTGCTCCTCCATGATATCAGCTCTATTGTTCAAATAGTCCAGATTCTTTATCTCATCTGTTGTGTTTTTCATCTCCAGCATTTCTGATTAGTTCTTCTTTATAGTTTCAATGTCTTTGGTGAAGAAGTTCTTGATTTCATTGAACTGTCTGTCTTGTAACTCATTGAGGTTTGTTATGATACCTATTTTGAATTCTCTGTCATTTATATTATAACTTTTCATGCCTTCAGGATTGATATCTGGGTGCTTATCATTTTCCTTCTGATCTGGAGAATTAATATATTTTTTCATACTGCTTGATGGTGTGAATTTGTGCCTCCACATAGTGATAGTATCTGTCACAGCTTCTACCTGCTGCCGCTGGGTGGGTGTCAGGACCTATGTATTCTGAGCCTGCCGTGATCTGCAGCTCACTCACACCTGCTGCTTTTCTAACGTATGTGTGGGCACTCTGACTGACCACCTGGGCTGGAGCATCAGGTGGAGGAGGGGTGCTTTCTTTCACCTGTGCCATCCCAGGGGTCTTCTCGCTCTGCCCTCACTAGCTGCTCTCCTGGGGTGCTAGCTTGATGAAGACACCCTTGCAATAGCTTAGTCACCTCTGTTTGGGGCTTTACCACTGGCTGTGACGGAACTCGGAGAGCAAAGGTGTTCCCCGGAGGGCTGCCCCTACCCCCTTTCCTCTCAGAGCTGCCCACAGTCCAGGGGTTGCTGCCATTCAGGAGGGTGAGGAGATCTCCTTACCTCCTTCCACTCCCTCCATGGGGCCCAGCACCTCCACCTTCAGACATATGGCTGTGTGGGTCTCTCAGACATCTTTTGTGTCATGTGAATGTCCTCTCTTGGTGTAGGAATGTCCTCTTCATTATATCTTTATATTATATATTATATCGGGAGGCATGGAAAGATGCCAGCTGGAGATCAGGCACCCTCCAGATGCTTGCCCGCCCCCCTCCTTAGGGAACAGCAGAGAAAGCCATCAGCACACAAGGGGGAAACACCATCAGCCAGGTGCCAATACCCCCGAGGTGGCAGATGAAGCACTGCAGTCAAGAGACCCAGGTCTCCTTTTTCTTTATTACTTTGTCCCTGAGGAACTTTGCTGCTCTTTGTCAACAACTTGATTATTGAATATATACAGAAAACTAATCTTAACTGGGTGGTAAAATTTCAGAGTGTTCCCTTAAATTCTGATTTTAAGTAAGTTTTTCTTCTAGAAAGTGGTAGGGTTATTTTTCTCTTGGTTGGTTTGTTCAATTTTGCAGAGCTGGTTAGCCTGACTAAATGTTTGTAGGAAAGAGACAGGAATGTAATAAATACCCTGAATTTTAAAGATTGTAAGGCTGTGGAAAGCAGGAAAAGTTATTTTTTATTTAAACCTGTGCGTTTTATGTCCATCAGGTTGGAGTGATCGATTTTTCCCTCTACCTTAAGGATGTGCAAGATCTTGATGGTGGCAAAGAGTAAGTACGCTGCTGTTCTTCATGCTTTTAATGAAATTCTGGCAAAGAATGCTACTTTTGTTTTTTCTTTGTTTGAAATTTCAGTTTTTATTTAGCTGTTATTAATTACAAATGTAACACATTAATATTCCCATTGCTTCGTGAATTAAGCTCTACAGAGCACAGAGTTCAAGTGAAATCCCCCACTTACACTGTCCCCTCATCCCCGTCTTGGTCCTACTCCCACCCCTCCCTCAGAGGAAGCTATTCATGCCTCCACCCAGCCTTTTTTAATGCCTGGAAGGTATGTATTTGCTAGGAGTGTAACTGGCTTTACGGTCTGTTTGAACGTAAGTGGGATGGTATCGTTATACACAGAAGCTGCCCTTGGACTTGATCTTTGATTGTAGTGTGTCTTGGATGTCCTTTCATGCCACGTGTAGCACTCCCTCATCCTTGTGAACGAGAGCAATTTTTTAAAAGAAGTTGTCCTAGAAATAAAAAAGAAAAGAAAAAAAGCAAACAGTGTGTTTTACATGCTACTGTTTGTGTTATGATAAAAAAGACTATACATCCCTATTTAGCTGTTGTTCTTGCATACGCAGGGCCCACTTCTAGAGCAGCACGGAGACCGGAACAGTGGCTGTCTGGGGGAAGAGGACAGAAGGCAGGCTCAGGGGGACGTGTTATGTAAACCCTTGGGTCGTGTTTGAATATTTTACAGCATGCGTCTGTTACCTGCCTTTGAAATGTCTTCCGGACAGGAACTCCTCTGGTCTCAGTGTCCTGGCAGTGCACTTTACCAAGGAGGGGATCAGCAGAACCCCATTAATGCTTCATGTGCCCTAAGTACAAGGATTACACCCACTTGAAACTTAAACAAAAAATATATACGTATATATTTTTTTTAATAGCTTCCCTTTTCTTTTTATTCTCTTTTTTTTCTTTTTTTATTTCCTGGGAAAGATTCAGCCTGAGCTATCATCTGTTGCCAATCTTCCTCTCTTTTTTTTTTCTCCCCAAAGCCCCAGTACATAGTTGTATATTGTAGTTGTAGGTCCTTCTAATTCTTGTGTATGAGCCATCACCACAGCACATCTGCTGACAGGTAGTGTGTTCTGTGACTGGGAACTGAACCCAGGCTGCTGAAGTGCGGCATGCCTGACTTTAACCACTAGGCCATAAGGGCTCGCTCCAAAATAGATTTTTAATGTCAAGAAAAACTGGAAATCAACCGATTATCCACCATTCAGGGAATAAGTGAATGAATTATGGAATATCCAAGGTATTCCACACTGTGGCATATTATGCAGACACAAAAAAGAACAAATTTGACCTTCTGGTATGGTAGACTTGGAGGATTCCCACAAGGTGTTGAGTGAGAAAAGTATGGTACTGAGGAGTATACATATCCCGTTTTCTAAACCAGAACAATCCCTGACAGATATCTTACATTGTAACTGTATGTACCACATATACTGTAGACAGATAGATACTGTGACTATATGCACAGAGGCTGCTCAACAGGCCGTCAGTATGGCTTCCTGGGAGGGCCGTGGAAAGGGCAGAACAGGTCAGAGAACATGACTGCAGTGAAGAACAGATCCAGCCTCTGCGGCAGGAACCCGTGTGGAGTGACCCACTTAGGTACAGATGTTCCTCGATGTGTAAAGAAATGGGCGCCTAAGTTTAAAATGTTAAAGACTTTTTTTCACCCAGACTGATCAGCTTTGTGTTCTGAAAAGTCTCGGCTCTCGTTATCTGAGCCAGCCTCCTTACCTTCAGTGTAACAACGGCTGCTTCATCTGCTGCCTGGAGGCTATTGGCACCTGGCTGTTGGTGTTTCCCCCTTGTGTGCTGATGGCTTTCTCTCCCTTCCCTCAGGAGGGGGCCGGGGGCAGACATCTGGAGGGAGCCTGCTCTCCAGCTGGCGTCTTTCCATGCCTCCTGCGGCCCTGGCTGCTCTCTCCCCAACCAGCCTTGCTCCTCTGTTCACTCAGGGCCATGCAGACCTAAGGTCGTCTCTTGGTTTCCTAATCACATTGGTTCTCATCCAAGGTGATTGGAAGGTTAGGGGACAGTGACGAAGTGTTAACCCTGAGTAAAAAGAATTTCTCTCTTTTTGTGTTCTTTTTAAAAGGCACGAGAGAATTACTGATGTCCTTGATCAAAAAAATTACGTGGAAGAACTTAACCGGCACTTGAGGTAGGACCCCCTCCTTTTTCCAGTGTCACAGTTCATTCTCAGCATCCCCAATATTTGTTTCATGGAACTTTTTTGAGTTGCCGTATATTTATGATTAACTTTTTTCCAAACCAAGAAAAAAAATTATCATGCAATGCTCATGTGTACAGACTGGAGAAGTATGATTTCTTGATAAAGAGCTTTCGGAGTCTTCGGCTCTTTGTTTTGTGCAGTTATACAGTTCCGAGAGCCAATAGACGACTCTCCAGCCCTCACTCCTCGGCCTCATGGGTGGAAATCACTGCCACGGAGGGGCACCATTGCTGCTGGGAGTCAGCACACGCCCCTGAAGGGTGTTGGGGCAGGAGAAAAGGGCTGAAAACCACTGGCTAGACCTTCGAGAGCAGGTCACTAGCATAGCAGCGTCTTTGTCTTGTTTTCCATCTCAGTTGGAAGGCTGCTGCGTGTTCATGACTCGCTAGTCGGTGAGGTGTGGGTGGGGAGTGGGCGGAGATGCTCAGTCTGGTGTGCTTGGGAGACGTTATTCTCTGCCGGAACCCCTTTTAGAGAGGGGTGGGGCACATCAGCAGTGCTGGCCCCAAAAGCCAGTGACAGAGGCGCAGGGCTGGCACGTTCCTCAGAGCGGGCCTGGAGCACGCTGCTCAGAGCTCTGCCCGGGAGCGGTGCTGGCTCTTGCCAGGGGAGAGGGTTTCTTAATTGATTCCTAGTTTGTTGAGACTTTTTATAAGGAGTAGATGTTGAATTTTATCAAATGCCTTTTAGCAGCTGTTAAAGTAGTCATTACTTTTATCTCTTAATCTGTTAATGTGATGTATTTTATTAATGGATTTCTTCATACTGAACCATTCCTATGGCACAGGAATAAACGTAGTTTTAATAATTTAATCGTTCTCTTAACATGTAACCTGACCTGTAATTGCTCTGCAGTTTTTCCCTCTGGCATCACATGCGCGTTGTACAGCTTCACAGAATGAATTAGGGAGCTTTACCTTGTTTCTGTGCCTGGGAACACCCAGTTCGTGAGCATTATTCGCTCCTGGAAAATTTGAAGCTCAAAGCCTGTGTGGAGGCAATACTTCATCAGCTTTCAGTTTTTTCTTGGTGGTTAGTTCATCTAGGTCTTCTCCTATGAGTATATGTCTTTTTTGGAATTTCATTGATATTTTCTAAGTTAGATGGTTGGTATAGAATTGAAAATTGTATACTCTTAAAACTCTTCATTCCCTCCCTCTCTTTTGTTTGGTTCTCTTTTTCATTTTGTGTCATTGTATTTTATTTTCTCCCACCCAGTGCTTGCACCTTGACTCATTAGCCTTGCCGGGTTTGTTTCTTTGTCCTCCTCACTGGCAAAGGCACCAGCTTTTGGCAATAGGGCCCACTGCCCAGAGGGACAGGCCCTGGAGCTGGACCACCTGGCTCGGATCCTGGCTCCTCCTCTAGGGCTGTGACCTTGAGTGAGTCTTTTAGAGCAAAGTTATGGTTCCCTCGTCTGTGACACGGGTTAACAGTAAGATTTACCTCCCAGAATTGCGGGATTACGTGAGTTGATGCGTTTAAAATGCTTGAACAAATCGGGCCTGGCACGTCGCCCAAAAAGAGAGTTCCTACGGTTACTGTTGTGGTGGTTATTATTTTTCATCATCTTCATTAGCTTTTTACATATTTTTCAGTATGAAAGTAGTACATATTTCTTAAAAAATATTTGAAAAATGAGGCAAAGTATTAAAAAGATTTTAAAATCATCTTTGATCCTACTACCCCAAAGTTCCAATATCTTGCTCTGAATATTACTTTAGATGCATGACTCCCAACACGTTTTGCTTCCCATCTATTGTGTTGTGCAAAAAACTATTTTCTTTCCAGTTGGCTAAAAAAGAAGTGGGTAGCATATTTTGGAGAGAAAACGTTGAAAACTTTCTATAAATGACACACACACACGCGCACACGCACACATGTTTAGAATCCTCATCTCTGAGTTTATTGGAGTCCCTTTGACCCTCCATGTCATACAGGAAATCTAGGAATCTCTATTCTCATTGTTTGTAGGTAGGAAAAACAGTCAGCTTTTATAAGTTCACGTTTATTTAATATTTATTTTCTATAGCTGCACAGTTGGGGATCTTCAAACCAAGATAGATGGCTTGGAAAAGACTAATTCAAAGCTTCAAGAAGAGGTTTGTAACTTACTGAAATTCTTAACATAGAGTGAGCCAAGGTTCCGAGCGGTGGTGTGGTCGGCGTGTCCGACCGGAGCTGCTCGCTGGTAGGAATGGGAATTGCTAACTTGGGTGGAGCTGCAGGCGAGCCGGGTGCTCTCGGAGCTCTGCATCCTCGGCGTGTCTGTGTTCCGCCCTGTCCGGGTCTGCCGTGAGCCAGTGCAGCTGATCTGGAGCCAGTCCTAGGCAACTTAGTTTTTATCTCCTCGCAGTAATCCAGTAGAAGACGAGCCCTCCCTAGAGCCCCAGCCCCTGTGGGAAGGTGCTGCTCTCCTCTTTCCCACCTCCCCTATGGTGTAGTGTGTCCCCCCTGCCGGGAAGGCACAAGCTCTGTGACGAGGTAAAAGTCCCCTAGCCTACCCCTTCTGTGTTTCAGCCTCTCAGGAGTGTGGAACAGTCTCCCCACAGTGTGGTCTTTCTCTGCTTTCTCACTAGGAAGAGAGAGGATGAAAGGACAGGAAGAAGGAGGGCTGAGGCTGAGGAAGACAGCTTGCTGCCAGCTGCCCGGCAGTCTCCTTGGTGGACACATCTTGTCTCCTGTTAGCAGGAGGGGGGTTTCTCAGCCCTTCTGAGGCTTTCCACAGGTAGTGGTCCCTGGCTGCTCTCACTGGGAAGGAAGAGGGCTGTGAGTGGGGCGGAGAGTGCACCCCCTCATGGTGTGCAGGCAGGTTACAGCCGAAAGGAGAGTCACAGAGCACGCCTTTGTAATGAAGGACCCACTTTAAGGCTCACTTTACACCGACTGCTGTCTCCTAAGGGGCCAGCCCTTAACAGCGTTCAGGAGAGGAGCTCAGATTTGTGTGAGGAGCAGGAGATCCAGAGGCGGCATTCGTAGGTGGCATCACAGGGAGCTCGCGTTCACCTGGGGTGGGTGGGCCTTTGGCCTCAGTTTAGGGAAGTAGGTCTTTGAGCCTCACTGTTCTCCTCTCCAAATTGGATGATAATCCATGCTTGACAGTATTGTTGTAAAGATGAAATTAGGTTAATGTCATAGCAGCGTGCCTAACAGCACATGGTGTGTGAAGGCGTTGAGGCATCAGTTGGCTTTACAACAAGCAGGCTCAGTCTGTTCTCCCAGATGAGGCGGGATGCTTTGAATGAAGGTCTAAGTTAGCTGTTGAAACTGAACAGCTGGGTTATTTTTTCTTCAAAGGCCAATGATTGTAATAGAAATGAGCTATGGAGAAAAGTATCTCTGTCCCCAGAGCGTGCCCTCCACGTCTTCAGAGAGTGGAATGGGGTTAGCTGGTGGCTTTCGCCTGCTGCTTCCCTTGTAGCTCCTAGCAACACCTTTAGAGCCTTGAAGTTTCTTATCTGGGCACAGGAGTTATGTGTAGAAACCCCAGTCCTGCTTCTGAGTCTGAATGGACTTAGATGCTGTTGACCAAGAGGAGGTGAGGAGGTCAGTGTTCAAGGCCCCCCACGAGTGAAGGATGCCAAGAGCACAGCCACGTGCCAAACACACGTCTCTTTCTTTCTCCTCTCTTTGCGGGCTGTGTGCAGAGGCGGCATCCGGAGGGCCGGGTGCTGGGTGTACCCTGCCTTGCTTCTCCCACAGCCTCTCCTTGGAGGTCCATGACGGCATCCTGCTTCTGTACACTTTTCCCTAAACTACAGTAACTCGTTCAAGGAGAGGAAATGTCTTCCTCAGACATGTTGTTAATGACATGGTTGTGATTCCTCCTCAAAAATTCTTTAACTCTCCCTCTCATGATAAAATATCCTTTTGCTCATTGGCTATAAAACCTGAAAAGAATGAAGAACCAGGAAAAAAGCCCATAATCCCTTGGCTAAGTCACAGCTATTTTTATCATTTGGTATATGTAGTCCCCATCTTTTCTTAAGCATTTTTAACATAGTTGAGTTTTTTTTAATTAGAGGTGAGAACGTACTGTATAACCTGCTTTATTTCCCTATTGGTATTATATCATAATTGTGTTCTCGAGTCATTGAAAGCTTTTGTAAACATTGTAATAACTAAATATTTATGTTTTATGCTTCCTCTGTAATTTATTAAACCATTTCTCTAATATTGGAGATTCAGGCTGTTTCTAGTATTTTGTGTCCAAAAATCTTTGCCCACATTATGTATCATGCTATCATTTTTTTAAAAGAAGAACATTTGGGGAGGGCAGAAATGGCTAGGGATGGGCAGGAGAGAGATTTTACTATATACATTTTTATATCTCTGGAATTTTGAACCATGTGAATATATTACCTATTCAAAACAAGGACATAAAATATCAAATATGTGAAAATACGTTATCAATTGTGAAGATGCCAAATGTTAGATTTTAGTTTGAACAGTAAGATTCATTTTGAAGTTAAGAAATATAAAAATCTTTCTTAATCAGCTTTCAGCTGCAACAGACCGGATTTGTTCACTTCAAGAAGAGCAGCAGCAGTTAAGAGAGCAAAATGAATTGATTCGTCAAAGAAGTGAAAAGAGCGTAGAGGTGAGAAACTGACTTCGCAGCTGCACGGCCTGGTTCTGACTCACACATGTCCATCACAAGTCTCAAGCTCGTGGTTTAATAGTGACCCAGTCCTCAGAAGGTGCCTCCAGCCACCGTGCCCTCCCGTGTCACTCGCAGGCCTGCTGGACCCCTTTGGGGGTTCCCGGGCCCACTGCTCCCTCGCCTGTGAGCCTTCGCACATGAAAGTTCCTATTCGTTCTTCGACCTCTGCTCATATGCCACGTCCTCTGTGATGCCTCCCTGACACCATCGGTGGGCCTGGGCCCTCCTTCTCCCACATTCCCATAGCTCTTTGCACCTCCCTCCTTTGTAGAATCCGCTTGCTGTTTCGTAGAATTGATGGCTTGCAGCTTTCTTACCTGACGACTTGAGGGGAGAGACCATGGCTGATTCATCTGGAGATTCACCTCGTGCTAAAAGTGTGCTTGATAAATGCTGAATCATGGATTGAGTGGGGGCCTATCCCACTAAGGACAATTGTTCTGTTTTAAAGAAAATTGAATATACATTATTGGGTTTTTTTCTTCTTCTTCTGTCTGAAGCCCCCCAGTACATAGTTGTATATTGTAGTTGTGGGTCCTTCTGGTTGTGCTGTGTTGGATACCACCTCAGCACGGCTTAGATGAGCAGTGCCATGTCCACGCCCAGGATTCAAATCAGCGAAGCCCTGGGCTGCTGAAGCAGAGCCTGCGAACCTAACCACTCGGCCACGGGGCTGGCCCCTAAATTATTTTCTGAAGCTAACTTTTCTTTTAAAAAATGTATTGGCGGGTCGGCCCGGTGGCACAGCGGTTAAGTTTGCACGTTCTGCTTCTCAGCGGCCTTGGGTTCGCCAGTTCAGATCCCGGGTGCGGACATGGCACTGCTTGGCATGCCATGCTGTGGGAGGCGTCCCACATATAAAGTAGAGGAAGATGGGCATGATGTTAGCTCAGGGCCAGGCTTCCTCAGCAAAAAGAGGAGGACTGGCAGTAGTTAGCTCAGGGCTAATCTTCCTCAAAAAAAAAAAAATATTGGCTTGCTCTCATCCTTCAAGTTCAAAGATAGTTCAGAATATCTTTAAAAATTTTTTTTTTCCTGCTTTATCGCCCCAAACCCTCTCTGTACATAGTTGTATATCTTAGTTGCAGGTCCTTCTAGTTGTGGGATGCCGCCTCAACATGGCCTGACGAGCGGTGCCATGTCCGCGCCCAGGATCCAAACCCTGGGCCGCCGCAGCGGAGCATGCGAACTTAACCACTCGGCCATGGAGCTGGCCCCCTATCTTTAAAATTTTAACCTTTCTCTATTCTTAAAAAATAGAAATTATGCTACATTTTTAAAAAACTATGGTATATTTTAAAATCATTTCAGTTAGCTTACTTTCATAAGCAAACCATTCCTCTTTGCATTCTTGTTTGATACAGATAACAAAACAGGATACCAAAGTCGAGCTGGAAACTTACAAGCAAACCCGGCAGGGTCTGGATGAAATGTACAGCGACGTGTGGAAGCAGCTGAAGGAGGAGAGGAGAGTCCGTGCGGTGAGCGCGCCTCAGTGTCCTTAGAAGGATTCTCGTAGCCCTCCACGTTATTTCTGTTAGCACTTTTCACACGCATGCTGAAACTAGGAAACTGCTGACACTCATGGAAAGTTAGAAATTGTCCCTTTTTTAAAAAAAAAAGGCTGTTTTTACCATGCAGTTCTGCATTGTCACTTATATTTTTTTCCAGTTTTATAAACCTCTCCCAGGGGTTGCTGTGAGCCTAGACTCATGGTTTCTTTGACAATACAGCTCCGTCAGTCACAGCCTCTGGTTGGTTTATTTCTGCCCAAGCCACACATCAGTGACTGGTGTTTTTATTAAGGACAGTCCTGTGCCTGCCTCATCTCTTTGCATGAATGTGGGGACGTGTGTCCTGAGTTATCCAGCACAGAACCATTTCAGAATGGTTGCACCTTTGTTGCCGTAAACTAGCAAGTCATTCTAGCAATTCTAACGTTGGGAAACATTACATCTCCTCTAGCATTCGAGACAGACTTTCTTTCAGACCATGCGTTCTGATCTTAGGGTTTGAGGAACGTGGTTGCCAGCACTGTAGGCTCACATTGTCACCTATCAGCTTTCTGTTGACTTGATGCAGAGCCACTTTTCGTTGTAAAATAAGGAAAGGAGAAAAATTTAATCTAGTTATGCCCCAGACAGACTTCTCTCAATCTCCCTAATGTATTCTGACCTTCAGTTTATATTTTAGGCATTGCCCAAGACAGAACCGCAGCTAACTACGTTTCTGTGATCTACTTTAATAATATTTTCCTTGTTAATATCTTTTTAAGGAACTAGAAAAAGAACTGGAGTTACAAGTTGGTATGAAAACCGAAATGGAAATTGCAATGAAGTTACTAGAAAAGGACACCCACGAGAAGCAGGACACTCTAGTCGCCCTCCGCCAGCAGCTGGAAGAAGTCAAAGCGATTAATTTACAGATGTTTCACAAAGTTCAGGTGGGCATTGGCTTTGTGTTCAGATCACAGCCTGGTTTTCTGCAGCTTGGCTACAGAGGTAGAGCTTGTCACATGCTGCGTTTTGGTCCAGTCCTTCTTCTGCAGAAGGGGCGAAGAGACACCTCTGTGTAGTCCTAGTATGTGTCAGACCTGGTCCTTGGCCCTAGTATGTGTCCTTGCATTTATTTTCTTTGAGACTCTCAGCAATCCCTGAGGAAAGTTTTTTTAAATGGGGGGAAATGTAAGTGACAAGGTAGAACCGAGTGGCTAAATCACACATCCCTGGTGGCACAGCTAACACACAGAGCAGGGAGCCGAACCTTGTCCTTCGACTCCAAACCCCAGCTTGGTCTGCCGTGCCTCCACTGCTTCCTTGCTGTCTCTCTCCTTCTACTTCGGTGACTCGTTGTTTGCCCAGAGAAATGGAGACGTGGGTGAAGGGTATAAGCTGGTGCAGTGCTGTCTTTGCAGGCTTTGCCGTTACATTAATCTTGCTGAGTCTCAAGGCCACACAGCCTGCTGCCCGCCTCTCCTGTCACTTCGGAGTGGTCAAGGGGAGCTAGCCCAGAAAGAATCCATCATGCCAGAGTCTGAAAGATAGCGTCTAAAATTATAAAGCTTCCTTGCCCAGAAGGACGCCATTCTGTGTCCTCAAAACTTTTCTTTTTTTGAAGTTCTGTTTCCTATTTTATTGCCAAAACAGTCCCACTTCATTTTCCATAGATGCGGAAAATGCAGTAATATCTGTGTCAAGGATAATGTGAGGGCTAACAGTACTAATAAACTGCTATTTTCTCCCTTTTTAAATTGTTGTATAGTCACTATTATTATAATAGCAGCAATGAAGATCAAGTAAAGCAAAGAGAAAAGGAGGAAAATAGCTTCACTCTCCTAAAAAATTGTCTATTTTAATTTTTTCATAGTTTCTTCTGGTCTTGGTCAGTATAGACATAATATTAATGCATGTTAGGGAAACCTGCGGTAATAACTTAGCAGACCCTGAGATAGAGTGGCTTAAAAATGTGGAAGTTGTATTTCCGTTACACCATAGTCCCAAGGAGAGCCTTCAGACCAGCAGTTTTGCCCCCCACATTCATTCAGGGACCCTGGCTATGGCAAATCCAACTCTCAAGGCCACTCGACTTGTCACATTCTTGCCAGCGAAAGAAGGGAGAAAAGCAAAAGCCCAGAGCCAGGAGCAGCCAGACCTGGCCCTTGGCCCTGGTAGGTGTCCTGGCGTTTATTTCCTCTGAGCCTCCAAGCTGTCCTCTCAAGCAGCGAGAGAGAAGTTGTGCACATCGTTCCATTCACTTACACAGAAAGGGCTGGTCAGCATGGCCACGACTGGCTGCAAGGGGAGCCTGAGGCTGTCGTTTCTGGGCTACAACCAGCTGAAGGGGAGAAGGGTGTGGGTCAACGTAGTTGTCTCTACCACAGTCAGCCCCACAGAGCTACCCGGAAGTCCCATCCAGTCCCTGCATCCTCTCAGTCCGAAACCCCTGGGTGATGGGCAGCGCTCTCCATCGAGCCCACGTGGCCCTTGTTCAAACCAGATGACCTGCTGTCTTTCTCACCTTAACCCATCCCACCAGCATGAAATTGTAGAGCGGAAGCCAGATGGCCACGGGGAAAACGCCTGCTTGGAAAGGGGGAACCAGGGCACCGGCCCGTGGCGGTCACTGCATCCTCGGGGCGGGAAGTGTGGAGGCTGCCCAGTGTGCAGGGGCTCCAGCTCTCAGCATGTCTGGCTGCCTTGCTTCTGCCTTCCGAAGAACTTCTCTGTCTGCTGACCTCTGTGGCCCGGGAAGGGTCCACCATCACCCATGGCGCTTTAGAGTGGGCTCTCAGGGTGGTGTGGGCACAGCCTTTGTGGCGAGCCTCTTGCTGTTATCGGTTTGCCTGCCTGGAGGTTGTGTTAGGAATCAGACAGTCACAGATATTTTTCAGGCCTGAGTTGTGGTTCCTTTGACAAGACAGTTCCCTCAGTCACAGCCTCTGGACTGTTCTTTTCCACTCACTGTGTGTGTCACTGACCAGTGAGTTTATTTACTAAACATCGTTCTTAATGCCTGCTTCATTTCTTTGCTCTATCAGTCTCTCTCATATTAATGGCCAGCCGTCTGAGACAGCGGTCACCATGTGAGGGAAGCACCCTAATGTGATCTTCGCTGCAGAATGTCCCGTGGCGTTCAGTGCCCACTCTTCCGTCTTCTCTCACTTATCTCAGGGTCCAGAACCAGTTGGGTTTTCTACCCCACAAGGCCCTACCTTTGGACTGTCATCCTGCCCACCTCACTGCAGGCCCCTTGCTTACAGCGCCCGTTCAGACAGCAGGCCCCACCGTGTGTACCGGCATGCTGGGGCCCTGGCACAGCTGGCGTGGATTTTGTTTTACGAGTTGGGCAAGTAACACTTTTACTAACTGATGGCCATAACTGACAAGGGTCACCAGCTTTCCAGCTTGTAACGTCTGCTTTGACAGTGCCAACCCCCTGACTGCTGAGTCAGTGCTGCACACGCTAGCTTTCCTGGGGCGGCTCCTTTCTGCATGGCCTTCCCTGGTCCTGCTGGAATTCTGCCAGCCTGTTGTCCCTTCATAGCCTTCTCCCCTCTGGGCTGCAGAGGCCGGAGGTAGAGTCCGCACCGTCCCTCAGGCAGGGGCCCATCGTGATAAGACGCCTCTCTGGTTCTGTTTCCTTTTCTCCTTGTATCCTCCATCCCGACTCTCATCCTCTCTCCTCTAGGCCAACATTCTACAGTGTTCCTCTTTGCATTTATATTTGTCACTCTAAGACACGTTGTATAGTATTGAGTACCTGAATTTTAGCTTCCGGAAGCGACGTGTACAGTGGGTCTCAGCGTGCTCCTCACTGCCCCCTTGGCACTGCGTTCCTCTGTGTACCTGTCTGGTTTTGGCTTCTGAGTGCAGTTGAGTGTTCTAGCCCGTCCGCCCCTCATTTTCCTGCCCATTCGCCCCATGATGGACCAGCAGTTTCCCTCCACTCCGCTAGTGCAAGCAGCACCAGCAGCGCGTGTCCACATCTCCCTCCGGGACCAGGGAGAGTCCCTCCCGCAGGCATGGTTGGCGTTCCCTGCAGTCAGACACTTCCTCTGTGTCCTTGGTTTGCACAAACCCAGCCGCGTTCCTTCCAGAAGGGCTGCACCAGCGCGCACCTCCAGCCGGTCTGGTGCTGCCCGTGCCCTTGGAGTGTGGGGTTGTTTCTCGGTCCGGCGAGTCTGAGCACCCTTTCATGTGTTGGTTAGCCATTACGTTTCCTCTTTGTGACTTGGCCGTTCGCCTTTTTTGTCCTTTTCTCTTTGACTTTCCTATCTTTTCCTTGTTGATTAGTAGTAATTCCATGTATAATCTAAATATTAGTCCCTTATTGGTTTACGTGTTGTAACTGTCTCCTCCCAGTCTATCATCTAGTATCCTTACGTCCTTATTTTTGATGTAATCAAGTGTGCTGACTTTTCACATTATGGTTTGCAGTTTGGGGGTTTGTTTAAGAAGTCCTTTCTCAAGCCTGGGTGTCAAAGATATTCTACACTACTTTTATAAAGCTTTCCATTTAGGTTGTTTACATATAGAGAGTTAATCTTTGTATGTGGCCTTACCAGGGATCGAGCTTTATTTTTCCCCATGTAGTAAGCCATTTAACAGCTAATCCATTCTTAGTTCGTTGACGTGCAGCCACCTTTATCACAGGCCAAGTTCTTGTATAAAATGGAGCTGTCTCTAGGTCTCTCTCTTTGATTGTCTGTTCGTTTTCATGGCCATAGCTCTGTGGTGCGTTTGAATGCCTGCTTGGTCGTGTGTTTGCTAGGGCTGCTGTGACAGAGTAGCACAGGCCGAGTGGCTGAGCAGGAATTTGCAGTTGCGCGGTTCTGGGGCCAGGAGTCCCAGATGAAGGTGTCTGCGAGGTCGGTTCTTTCTGAAGGCCGTGAGGGAGACCCCGTCCCTTCCTGCCCCCTAGCTTCGGTGGTTGCTGCCCGTCGTTGGGACTCCTTCACTTGGAGAAGTTATTACCCTGTCTCTGCCGTCATCTCCCCACGGCGTTCTCCCCGTGTGCGCGTCTGGTGCAAGTTCTCCCTTTTATAAGTCACCAGTTGTAGTGGATAGAGCCTGCTCCACTGTGACCTCGTCGTAATTGAGTAGGTCTGCAATGACCCTTGTTCCAAATAAGGTCACATTGTGTGGTCCTGGGAGTTAGGGCTCCAACTTACAGATTTGGGAGGGACATAACCCATGACGTAGGCCAAGCCTGCCTCCTTGCCCCTTTTTCCCCCTCTTCCTTTTTAAGATTGACTTATCTATTTATAAACTTATATTCTTGATAAAAATTTTATAATGTTTATAAATTTCTGTTTTAAAAATCCTGCTGAATTTCATAAATGGGGATTACATTGAATTTATAGATTAATTTGAGAAAAAATTGACCTCTGTAGTCTCTGAGGTCCTTGTATGTCGTCATTCTGTTCAAGAGCGTGGGGTAGCTCCTCGTTTATTTAGATACTCTTTTTTCTCTTTGTTGGTCCCTTTTACACCGTAAGGGTCTTGCCTCTTCTCTCAGCGAGTCCCTGGGTCTGTGCGGTTCTTGTGCGGCATGCCTGGCGCCCCATGGCCTGCCTGCTGGGGTGGGCACTGCTGCTGGAGACGCGTGGCTTTGCTTGCACGCTGCCCTGGTCTAACAGCCTCTCCCCACCCGCTCTCGTGGTTTGTCTCTTCCTCCTGGTGGGTCCAGATGTCGCTGACCACGCAGGCAGAGGAGGACAGTCAGTGTCTTCCCTCTCAGTTTTGGGCTTATTTCTTTTTGTTTCTTTGGCCAGAGCCTCCGAGACTGCATTAAACAATAGGAGAAATGGTGAGCAAACTTTGGTCCTGGTCTTAAAAGGAGCGCATCAAAAGTCTCTGCGTGAAGTGTAATGCTTGCTAGATGTCTGGTGCGTCATCTTTACTGGGTTCAGAAAGTTCCCTTCTGTTTCTTTTTGCTGAGAGGTTTGATCGTAAATGAGTGTTGAGCTTTTTATTAAATGCTTTTTTTTGTATTTTTGTCTATTGTGCTAATCGTGTTCTTTTTCTCCCTTATTTCTGTTGTGGTTTATATTGATAGATTTACATTCCTAGAATCCACTTGATTGGGATGTATTTATATTTAAAAATACTCCTGATTCAGTTAGCTAATATTTTATATCATATGTGTTTATATGTGAGATGGACCTCTAATTTTCTTTCCTTTTATTCACTTTATCTGGCTTCAGAATCAAGGTTGGACTGGCATTCTAAAAGAAGCTTTCCTGCTCTCTTTCTCTGGAATAACTCATGGGTGGCAAGTGTCTGCTCTCAGAAAGTTCTAAGAGCCCAGCCATGTCGTGTGGTCTGGCTGGGCTCTGGGGCAGGGTCACTTGGATGCCATTTCAGTGTGTTGAATGCTTACTGGCCTGTGTGTGTTTTCTATGTCTTCTCAGGCCAATTTTGGTATATTTTTATAGTATTTCCAAAAATGTATCTTAAAGTGTTTTAGCTCATAGTTGTTTATAATATTCCTTTACGCAATTTTTTAATCTTTTTCACTCAGCATTTTCTTTTTTGCATTTTCTGTCCTTTTTCCTTATTCAGTCTTGCCAGAGGTGTGTCTGTTTCAATAATCTTTTCAAAGAACCAGCTTTTTGTCTAATATTCTGTATTATTTATTGTTGTTGTTCCTTATTTCATTGATTTCTACCCTCCTTTTTTATTATGTTCTTTTTTATTTTTTGAGGTTTACTCTGTAGCTCATTTTCAGCTTTTGACATGCGTACTTAGCTCATCTGGTTTATCCTTTTTTATTTCATAAAAAATGTTATTTAAAGTTAAAAATTACCCACAAGTACTGCCTTAGCTGTGTCCCACCAATTTTGATAAAAGTATTTCATCTAAATAGCACATTTTTCACAGTTTAGCATCTCTGAAATTGAGATGCATCTTATAGTCAATGGCATGCCATATTTCAAGTAGCAGTTTCTTCTTTCTTAGTGGTATGTAAATTAGGGTGTGTGTTACACTTAGGGCCATCTTCAGTACAGTGAAATATTGCATAGTTTTTCATTGTTTTTTAGCTCTAAGTATTTCATAATTTCTCTTCTGGTTTATTTTGTGTAGCTCAGTAGTTTTTTAGTAAATGCGTTTGCAGATAGGAGATGTTTTAGATATTCTTTTCTTGTTAATGTCTCATTTTGTTACGTTAAGGTCAGAGCATACAGTCTGTATGTTATTTCTTAGGAATTTATTAAGACTTCCTTCCATCTTCAACCTCTCTGTGTCCCTTTTTTTTAAGAGTGTCTCTCTTAAACACACAGGAACATAGTGCTTTTTTGCTCCCTCCTGGTCGCTCGGCATCTGTCTTGATTAAAAGCTCGCCCTCAGGGGGCCAGCCCGGTGGCACAGCAGTTAAGTGCGCACGTTCTGCTTCAGCAGCCTGGGGTTCGCAGGTTCGCATCCCGGGTGCAGACATGGCACCGCTTGGCAAGCCATGCTGTGGTAGGCGTCCCACATATAAAGTAGAGGAAGATGGATGTTAGCTCAGGACCAGGCCTCCTCAGCAAAAAGAGGAGGATTGGCAGCAGATGTTAGCTCAGGGCTAATCTTCCTCAAAAAAAAAACCCAAAAAGCTTGGCCTCAGAAAGTCACCCAGGTGTGTGACCCCAGCTCCATCCCGCATTTGCCCGCTAACCTTCCCCTTGGGGCTTCCTCGGTCTGAGCCTCCCTCTCTTGCTCGGAGAAGTAGAGGCTAACCACACCCACCGTGAGAACCTGAGAACGCTGCAGGGTCTGATGAACTCCTGGATGTGGCTGGCACGTGAGACCAGCTCAGTCACATTGAGTCAGATCTGACTTTGACGTTCCTTTTCAGAAAGGAGCGTGGACCATTTGTGGAGGAAAACAAAAGCCTACCTTACCTCCCTCTTTGCCTTTCTTTCTGTGGGTGGAGCTGGGAGCCCTGGCCCCGTTTGTCCTCCAGGGCTCTGGGGAGGAGCAGCAACTGATGAAACGCTCTTGAAAGTGTTATAAAAGTACACGGTGAGCAAATAAACCCACTTGTAATCCAGGCCAGGCCCTGGGGCGAGGGAGAGGCCGAGTGTGACGACCCCTTTTCCTTGCTTTCGTAGAATGCAGAGAGCAGCTTACAGCAGAAGAGTGAAGCCATCATGTCTTTTGAAGAAAAAACCAATCAAGTAATGTCTAGCATGAAACAAATGGAAGAAAGGTAATCAGTTACCCCTGGCAGATATTCCTAGAAGGTGCTGGGCATTCTCTGGACCTGGGGACCTACTCAGAGTCTCTCTCAAAAGCACATATGACTTGGGATGACTGTCCTTCAGGTCCATAGTCTTGCCCAGCGAGGGGGCTGGATTCTCCAGCCTTGCCCAAACATGTAGTCACTTAGTGAGCCTTTGGGCTACTGCATCAGATTGTCCTCTCGGGGTCAGAACTAGCCAGTGAGATCCTTGTCACTGTCACATTTAAATGTCAGGTCAGTGAGTGAATCAGAATGGAGTCTAAAAGCAGACCCACACAAATACGGACAACCGATTTTCACAAAGGTGCAAAGGCAGGTCACCGGAGAAGGACAATCTCTTCAACAATGGTGCTGGGACAACTGGACGTCCGTGAGCAAATCTGTACTTCACATCTTCTACAGAAATCGACTCAAGATGGATCATAAATCTAAATGTAAAACTTAAAACTATAACACTTTTAGAAGAAAATGTAGGAGAAAATCTTCGTGACCTTGGGTTAGGCAAAGAGATTTTAGACATGACGTCAAAGCACTATCCATGGGAGAAAAACTTAATAAATTGGACTTTACCAAAATTTAAGACTTTTGTTGTGTGAAAGACACAGTTAAGAGAATAGAAAGACAATTTATAGATTGGGAGAAAATTTGCAAATCACATATCTGACGAAAGGGCCTGTGTCTAGACTGTGAGAACTCTCAAAACTCAACAAACGAAAAATCTAGTTTAAAGATAGGCAAAGCACTTGAAGAGACACTTCACCAGAGAGGACACGTGGATGGCAAACAAGCACATGACAAGATCTTCAGCATCGTTAGCCACTAGGGAAGTGTACATTAGAGTCCTGCTGAGATGCCGCTGCAGGCCTGTTAGAACAGCTCAGTCCTTCTTCAGTGACAGCAGCACGTGCTGGCGAGGCTACAGAGCCCCTGCAACTCCCGTGCAGCACCAGTGGGAATGCAAAAGGGTACAATCACTTTGGAAAACAGTTTCTTAAAAAGCTAAACAAACTCTTACCATGTGACCCAACAGTCCCACTCCTAGCTGTTTGCCCAAGAGAAATGAAAATAGGTTCACACACAAGTTGAGAGTGGCTCTGTTCGTAATTGCCGGAAACTGGAAGCGGTTCAGATGCCATTCACGGGGTGGATGGGTAAACGGGTAGCGATACAATGACCGTTGTACACAAAGAAACTGGGATTGACCTCAAAGATATACTGAGAGAAAGCGGCTGGTCTCAAAAGGTTCTGCGCAGTATACTTGCATTTGTATGACATTCGGGGTGGGGAGAGGGGGTGGCTGCCGAGGGCGGCACTGGAGTTTGCAGCATGGTGGAGTTGTTCTGTATCCTGAGAGCAGTGGCAGTTACACAGATGTATACATGTGCTAAACTCATGGAACTATACACACAAAGGAGTCAGTTGTACTATGTATTAATGTTAAAATGTTTTAAAAATAGAAATACATTTTTTAAATTTTAAAAAAAAGAAAAAATCCAAGCCAAGAAGAATATGAAAAACTCACAGCATAGATTGTGAGCATGGATCCTTTCCTTACAAAGACTTGGTTCGTTGGTCTAGGTTGCAGCTCGCAGAAAGGGCGAGGCAGCGGGCAGAGGAGCGGAGCCGTACGCTGCAGCAGGAGCTGGGTGCGAGATCGGGCGCGCTGCAGCAGCAGCTCTGCCGGCTGCAGGAGCAGTGGTAGGGAGCCTGCGGGCGGGCTGTGTGCTTGGGAAGGACTGGAAAGCCATCTCTGCACTGGTGGCAGATAGTGTCCCACTTCAGAGTGTCCCCCTGCAATGCTAGAATTAAGATGAGAGAAGAGATGTCTGTCTTCCTCTCTTCACAAATGAGAAAACTGGCTTCCGGGAGTTCCATAGTGTGCCCAGGGCCACTCAGCTGGGGAGGGGGATCAGGGTTCTGGCTGAGGCTCACGGCCTTCTCCCACCCGTAACCCCCCAGCATCCTCCATTGTCAGCTGGCCCTGGGTTGGAAAAAGCAGATGAATGTGGCACCCTCTTTGCCCTCGGGTCTCCATCTTAGTAGAGGAGTCTGCTGTGCGGCCCTAGGGGTTTATAGCTCTTCTCCTTTCTCTCTATGTGCACGACTGTCCAGCGTGCCTGCTTTCTCTTACACGGTCCTGGGCTTTCTTATGGAGGCGCAGGTGGCCCTGGGGGAGAGAAAGCCTTGTTTCCGGGCTTTGTTGAAGATGCTCACGTGGCAATTTTGAGTTCCTCATTACTTGTGCAGTGATTTTGGGTTGTGCTTGATGGATTTTCCATGAAAATCTCCCACTGAGACTAACTCAAGTTCATTTTGGGAAAACAGCTCGAGTCTAGAGAAGGAGTTGAAATCAGAAAAAGAGCAAAGACAAGCTCTTCAGCAAGAATTACAGCATGAGAAAGATACGTCCTCTCTACTGCGAGCGGAGCTTCAACAAGTAGAAGGATTAGAAAAGGTAAGGTGGACCGTCCTTGGAACAGAAAGAGCTTCTAGCATCTCCAGAAACTCCTGCTAAAATGCCTTCCAGCGGGCGAGTGGACTCCACACAGACTCACTTCCTCAGAGCGAGGCCCCGCGCGCTGGTCCGCTCCAGGGTCTGGGCTGCTGTTCCCACGCCTCGGAGCTGCTGCTCTAGAAGGAAAAGGCCAAGAGAAGGCGTAAGCCAGTGAGCAAACAGACTCAGTGATGAGGGCTGCGAAGAAAGTAAGACAGGAAGCTGTCCCTGCAGTGGGGCGGGGGTGGTCTTAGAAGAGGGTGACGGTGAAGCAGAGACTTGAATGACAAGCAAGGGAGAGCCAGGCAGAGATTCGGGTGAAGCACCTCTCAGGCAGAGACAGCAGGAGGCGTGAGTGGCTATCGTCATGAACGGGCAGAGAGAAGGGCGGCGTGACTAAGGTGTGGCCAGCAGAGGAAGGAGGGTCTGAGCTGAGGCCTCAGGTGGGCGGAGAGCCCACCTCAAGCCCACCAAGGTGTGCGAAGGAATTTGGATTTATTCCGAGCACAGTAGGAAGCTGTTGTAGAGACAGGATCCGTTGCGTTTTAAGACCCTCGCCAGCTGCTGTGTGGAGAATTGTGGTAGGGTTGCAGGAGAGGAAACTGAGAGGAACCAGCCAACATTTTGCACACCTTCACTCCAGATGTGGGTCGGCCACTCTGCTCAGGGTCAGGTATCCTGGTTCCCAAGAACCGCCTGGCTCTGGGTCATCTCTGGGAAGCATGCTGAACCAGAGTCCTGAATCTCCTCCAGCCTAGGCCTGAGTTGAGTCCATCCCTGGAGTCCTCAGTCTTTGACCTTAAGGTGTGGCCTGCAGCCTGTGGCGAGTCTTCAGAGAGCAAAAGAAGCAGGGGCCAGCATGGCGTCTTGGTCTGGTTGTAGAGCCAGACCTTCTGGGGAACTCAGGTAGTCTCCAGTTTTTCCCCTGCTGTAAAATCACCAGAGGTCTCCCCAGAAGACAGGAGGGTCCTGGCAGTTCTGGTTGGAGCAGCCTGGGAAGCTAAGGAGGGTGTCTCAGGCCTCTGTCGCTTCTCCCTATGGTGCCAGGCTCAGGGGAGTGCCACGAGTGGCCTTCCTACACCACTCCTTCGTTGGGGGAGGCTCCTTGGGCTGGAGCAGCATCCAGACCTGAATTTTGTTGTGAACACAGTGATGGGTACTGCTGTGCAATTTGAATGAGCTGAGAAAGGCCCTTTTGATTTCTGTTGGAAAGTGCCTAGGGTCCCTTGGAGAGCCCACGAGGCCTGGGGTGGGGTTCACTGGGGAAGGGAGAGGAGAGGTTCCTCAGGAGCTGCTCTGGCTCCCAGAGGGGAGGAGAGGAAATGGAGAGCAGAAGAGGACATCTAGAAAGTTCTGCCTCATCATGGAACATGCCCCTGTTACTCCACTTCAAAATGCTTTAGTCTAAGATTTGAATTATGCCCCCCCTCCCCTGCCCCCCAAGAACGACATGTCTGCCATCACCAGTAAGCCTCAGGGTGCCCTCGTGAACCTGCGTTAACGAGTTCTGGGGCAGAGGGTCTAGGGGCAGCTGGGGGTACTGCCCCACTCAGGCCTCAGCCTGCTGCTGCCCATGGTCAGCCCTGAAGCCCTGAGTTCCTTTTCTGCGTCTTTGTCTTGGCCCTCACCAGCCTGAGTCCTCAGGATGTGCCGGCCCCAGATTGCGAACCGTCGTCAGCACCATTGTCCCCTAGTGCGCTTCGCTCCCCATGCGCACGGCTTCTCGCTCCTGGGAGCCCCCAGAAGATCGGGCCATGCTCGGGCCGCTAATGAGATCCCAGCTCTTGGCCTTCATCAGCTGTGCTCGTTCATTCTCAGGAAATTTTGACTAGCCCTTTCCAAAAAAGTTTATTCAAACTAGCCTTTGCTGATGCAAATCTGTCTTTTAATGGAAACTCAGATAGGCAAAGCCTCATTTGCCCTGTGAGGGTCTGTTTTAAACGTGCCTGATGAACGTAGCTGCCTCCTGCCGCCTGACACTGTCCCCTCTGCAGAGCCGCTCTGGTGGCACTCGTCCTTCCAGTTGCCCACTCTGGAGAAGTGAGCCAGTGAGAAGTAATCCGTGAAGTAACCTGTCTTGAATGAGGTTACTACAGCAAAACTGCTTTTTGCTCTTGAGAAGCGTTCTGACCTTGTCACTGTGATTACTAAACCTTAAAACAAAAGAGACTTCCAATTCTGTGTCAAGTGTCTGGTTTGTTCATTCATTTTAGGAGCTGCGGGAGCTCCAGGACGAGAAGGCCGAGTTACAGAAGGTTTGTGACGAGCAGGAACAAGCCCTCCAGGAAATGGGACTGCATCTCAGCCAGTAAGAACCCTGTCCCTCTAGTCTGTGCCTGCGTGAGGGCCACCGGCCCCCTCCCCATGGAGTCACACCAGCCTGCCCGGTGCATTACTCGAGCCCCACACCTATGTCCTGTCGTTAGAGGGAGGGCCAATCAAGGAGGCCTGCCGGGTGTTCAAGGGTGACCCCTAAGAAGTCAGGCCTTGGGGACATAGTGGTGATTTGAGTCAGCTCATTAAGAATATCATTTTCTAGGGGCCGGCCCCGTGGCCGAGGAGTTAAGTTCGCGCACTCTGCTTTGGCGGCCCAGGGTTTCACCAGTTGGGATCCTGGGCACGGACATGGCACCACTCATCAGGCCACACTGAGGTAGCATCCCACATAGCACAGCCAGAAGCACTCGCAACTAGAGTATACCACTATGTACTGGGGGCGCTTTGGGGAGAAGAAGAAGGAAAAAAATAAAGAAGATTGGCAACAGATGTTAGCTCAGGTGCCAATCTTTGAAAAAAGGAAAAAAAAGACTGTTGTTTTCTAGTGACCAGAACCCTGGTGTTCACTAACTCAGTATCCAGGTCTCAGGAACCAGATGGGTGATGAGAGGGTCGCTTGTTCGGCCCGCGCAGACCCGAGGGAGCACTGTGGCTTGAGGACTTAAGCCTGCCATGAACAAGCGCAGTAGTCACCTCCCTTTCTTATGACTGGACACACATCCGCCAGAGGCGCTCGGTCTGTCTCCACTGGTGATGCTACAGGCACAAAGACCCTGGTAGTTCTGCCTCCCCTTGAACTTGAAAGCTCCCTTCCTAGTGTCCCAGTCCTGCCGGCTGCTCTGGACAACCCGATCAGTCACACTGCATATCGTGGACCTTGTCCGTTTGTGTGGTGATTGCATTTGTAAACCCAGTGGGTAGCTGCTGCTCCTTATGAGTCAGGACTCTTGGTTGCAAGTGGCAGAAATCCAGCTCAAACTGGCTTAAGCAGAAAAAGCCATCAGGAATCGGTCTCCACCTCCCACCTCTGCTGTCCTGTCTGTCGCTTACCTCACAGCTGGGTTTGGCCCCTACCAGGCAGAATGGCGCCCAGCAGGGCTGTCCGTCACAGCAACGAAAGTTCCTCTCGCCATCCCTCCCACCGAGCCCCTAGGTCGCCTGCTGCTCCCACCTGACTCCTGTGCCAGTGCTGACACCCACGCAGTGACCAAAGAGATGAGGGCTCTCGTGACCAAGACAGCCTGGGCTCAGGCCCAGCACTGAGTCCACTGTGACTGGAAAGGCCCAGAGATGGGGACCAATGTCTGAATGAACTAGAAACACACAAAATAAAGTAGTACACAGATGTGTACAACCTTAGGATTTTTCTCTCGGTCTGGAAAGTCATAAGGTCTACAGCAATGTTCTGGGCCGGCCCACAAAAGTATTAAGAAAAATAAGAAAGGAAAATGTTACGACTCCGGTAGGAATGTGGTCTTTTTCAGTAGTTTGAGGTGAAGAGGCACCATCCTCTCCAACTCACCGTATCCTTCTAGACCGGCTCAGGGCTACTGATCCAGCACCTCCCGCCCTGAGACCTGCCTGCCCCCTCCCGGGCTGAGTGCCCTGTGCTACTGCCCCACCCTGAGGGGAGTGCCTTGAGGGTGGGCAGGCCAGGTGTCCGCCCACAGCACAGGCCGACTCTGGGGTGTCCCGTGAGACTGATGAGAAGCAGGTGTGCAGGCTGGTGTCTTGGGTTTGCAGTGGTGTTCAGAGAGAGGTCTGATGGGGGCCCGTGCGTATCCTGCCCCCTTCTCAGCTAGCCAGCACCGTTTTTTTTCCTGCCCATCTTCACGTTGGACAGACAGTAAGCAGAGTCAGAGAACACCCTCCTGGTGGGCCACAGGCCTCAGAAACATGGGTGGGCTCTGAACTGGAAAGTGCACCCCTGCACATGGCAGCTTCCCAGTGCTACTGCCCAATCCCATGGTGACATGCGACATGCCATGTGCAGGGCTACCGAAGGAATGGCCTTTGTGCTTTCTCCCCTCCTCCCTTCTCCTTGCAAGCCCACACCAGAGGACAGAGAAGACAAGCCTGTCCTCAGACCCTCCCCTAGCCACAGACACAGCTGCCCAGTTTGTCTTGGGGACATCTGGCTGCTTCCCGACTACACCTCCCAGGCAAGTTCTTATATGTTCGGGCTGCCATCCTGACCTCAGTTCCCCAGGTCTCCCTACCCCAGCAGCCTCTGGGCCTGTCAGTCTGCGGGCCTGTTCCTGCAGCCCGGTGCGGCTGGGAGGGAGCTGCCTGTGGTCGGTACTGGGGGCCCCAGGGATGTTTCTAAAGGCCATGGTGCTCGGTTTCCTAATCGTGCCCAGGAAGTCTGGCCTGTGTCTCTGAGCCGTGCCACTTTGACACTTACATTAGGCTGATCCAATGACACTTTAGACTGATCTCAGCTTTTATGAAAGGGCTTGGACCATTCCCCCCCAGGTTACAAATACATAGTGTTTCATCGCACCTGGTTTAATTCTGCCAGTTGAGACCGTGTTCCGTCTTGTCTTTATGTGGACAACTAAGGAATCGTTCTTAACACTCACAAGAATGGAGCAAGAGCAAGGACCATGCCCTCTGCGCCTGACCCTTCTAGATGGAGCAGGCAGCAGGACTGGGGCCATGGGGGAGCCCAGACCTGAGAGCGGAGCAGCCCCCCGCCTCGAGCACCTGTCACGTGCAGGAAGAGTCGCCCAGAGAAGCCAGAAGCCTGGGCGTCTGTGAGAGAATTCTCCGTTTGTAAATGATTGCACCTATTTCCAGGTCTTTTTGAACCCTTGCATCAGCATTTCTTGGATAGATTCAGTCCAGTCAGCCTCAGACCGGGGCAGACGTGAGCCAGGGCGATGCGGTGAATCTGGGATTATAAAAGGGTGGAAAGCAAGCGTTTGAGAATGACTCACGTTACTGTACTCCTCTCTCAGTCCTGGCACCCTCACAGAGCCCCAGGTGCTGTGGGCTTGCTTGCTTTAGAGTTGGAGAGCCTCTCTCACTGCTATGAATGATTTTTTTTTCTTTTTAAGGTCAAAGCTGAAGATGGAAGACATCAAAGAAGTCAATAAGGCCCTGAAGGTACTGGATTACTAATGTTATTAGCCTAAGCATCACTCCGGGTCGCTCTCAGCTCGTGCTAATGCGCCGCGCGCTCTTGGGTTTCCTCACAGCAGCGGGTGAGAGTGTGCGGTTGAGCAGTGGTTGTTAGCACTGATCTTCAGATAAAATGCTGCTTAGAGCCACGTGACTTGGTCAAGACAACACTCACAAGTGGCAGGGCCCAAGCTGGAACCTAGGTCTTCTGATTCTGGTCCCTCTGCCATCAGCTATAGTTTGACAGTAGGCCTGGATCACAGAGGCCCTAATGAAGGAAGCGAAAGGTGACAGAAAGAGATCCAGGGATTTTTTTTTTTTTAATAGTGAGACTGAGACCTTTCCTGCCACGCACCTGCACTATTGTAGTGCTCTCTGTGCCATTTCTGGGGACTACTTAAGCCCTGAGCTGGACCAAGTTTCTGGACCATTTTGGAGACCAGAATGACACACACCATGTAAGGAGCGGGAGCAGGTGGACCAGGTGATCCGGGGCAGGAGCCAGGCTGGCCTGCTGGGGTGGGGAGAGTGGTGAGGAGGATGCACCTGCTCCAGGCCTCCCACGGCAGCTCAGAGCAGAAGTGACGGGCCCTCTGTGACAGAGCTTCCACCCTGTGGCCTCCGTTCTGCTGCAGAAGCAGCCGCTTCCACAAGGCACCTCCAGCGTGTGCTGGGGCCTCCGGCTTCCCAAGTGCACCACAGGGCGGAGACAGCAAACTGTCACAGCAACTGACAGCAGCCCAGATTCGTGGGTAACATCAATTTATTTTGTCCTCCTGGTAGACTGAAAGCTTCTTGGATGTAATTGCTGTGAGCTGCTTACCTTGATATCCCCTGTACTGCATGGAAGTGTTTGCACAAAATAATGGCAGCTGACGGCACCAGAGGGAGGACACGAATTCTAAGATGAGACTCTGGAGCCGCCGGGAGCTATTGGAGGCCAGGCTGAGAGCCCTGGGTGGGGCTGCGGCTCCCAATTAGATCAGTCTGTGTCATCGGGGAAGTGAGGGCCGTGCAGCGGATGCTGCGGAGCCAGAAAAGTCCATCAGCCCTGTGAGCCCTTTGAACACCTCAGTCGTGAGACTGAGTGAACCACATAGCCTAGCTTCCCACAGAAAGACCTCTGGAAAGGCGCCTTTCAAAGCCTCGGTGGCCTTCTCTGCAGAAGAGACATCTGCTTCCCCGCCCGGCTCTGGGCACTAGGGCTTTGGCATGTGTGGAGAGGGGCTTCCTGTCTCCACGCAGGGACCACTGTCAGATTGCTCTAGTCTGGCTGATAGGGTTGGCCCTTCTCCCTCCTGCCAGGTCAGCAGGCACTTTGGATAGTGTCTGGGCCAGGGCTGGGGTTGCCAGCACTAGCTCCTGACTCTGGTTACCTCAGCCAAAGGGCATCTATTGAAAGGCAGTGGACAAGTCCAAGGCTAACGGGCTGGAGAGTCTACCCTGAGGCCCAGGGGCAGACTGCAGAGGCGGGGAAGCAAGAGGCAGAGGGCAGGCCCTGTCTGCAGCCTGCAAGCTCCAGCTGCGGTTGAGGGTGGGGACAGTCCTGTGGGGCCACATCTAGGGGAGAAGAGACAGTCCCTCCAAAGGAAACCAGCTACTATTAGGAAAAGGACAGTGGATGCTGGGCAGCCAGGACAGCTAAAGGTCCATCGGGAGCCAAGCCATGCAATGGGATTCTTTCCTCCTCAGGGCCACACTTGGCTGAAAGATGACGAAGCCACGCACTGTAAGCAGTGTGAAAAGGAGTTCTCCATTTCCCGGAGAAAGGTATGTGGGGTGGCCCTCCCCCCACTCGCCCATGGGCTGAGTCGGTGCTCCCCTCCTCTGCTTCTGGGAAGGGCACGTGGTCTGCTGGCCCATGCAGACAGCCTCCCAGCCTGCCCTCTTTCTGGGGACCCTAGCCCGTCAGTCACAAGCCTTGTCCCCACCACAGTCCCTTCAACAATGGACACATTTATTTGGGAGTTGGGGCCGCTTGTGTGCAGAACTGGTCTGGGGGAGTGTATTTCTGAAAGGTCTGTAAGCAAGAGGACCACATTCTGGTTAAGTTAAGCAAAAGCAGACTCTCTGGGGAACCTGTGGGCAGCAGGTCTCAGCACAGCTGTCCAGGTGGCACCAAGAGCTCACTGGCAATCAGGGCAGGGCGCTTGCCTCTGGTGAATCTTCCTCCACAGCCTGCCTTCAGGTTTTGGAAACAGGTCCTGGGCCCAGCCCTTGGTCCAGGATTGACACGGCCTTAATTGATTAGTTGGGCAGGACAGGGACAAGGTTAGCTCCCAAGAAAACTGGAAGCCGCCAACACCATCCCATCCACTACTGGTGGCTATGTGTTCTCATCTGCCTGCCTCAGTTAGCAGCCTCTCTGTGAGAAAGAGAAAGCAAAACTCCCCAATTCTAGTCAAGGTCTTGCAACAGGTCCAGAGCTAGAAACAGCTCTCCTGAGGCTGTCTTGGAGGTCACGCTTGTCCACAAGGCCTGCTAGAGGCTGGGGCTCCACTGGCTGTCCCCACACCTGAATGACCCAGTTCAAGGTCATTGTCCGGCCTGAGAGGAGTGGGCCTGTTGGCGGAAGTGACGGACAGAGCCAGGAGGAGCAGAGGCTCCACAGGTGCATCTTGGCATGTGCCCCAGGTTCTTGGCAGCCCTGTTTACAAAGCAAGACTCCTCGCCTCAGGAGGAGCCAGCTAAGGAGACCTTGAGTCAGCACCCCGGGACTGGGCGATCACAGGGAGTGGCCTGGGCTCTTTATGGAGTGTGGCCCACCAAGCCCCTGAGTTAGCTGAGTCCAGCAACACATATTTTAAAGAAAAAGAACCTTACTCACGCAAGTGCACACCTCCACCAGCACCCCGTGATTTCACAGTAACATCGTGGAGAAACTCTCGTCTAGAAGAATCCCTTCCAGCCTGCTACATGCCTCTGGGGGAGGGATTCTAAAGTATTAAGCAAACCTTTAAAGCTGAAAAAACAGAGTGGGTGTGCAGAGCCACAGCGTGTCCTCTTTTCTGTCCTCTAGCACCACTGCCGCAACTGTGGCCACATCTTCTGCAACACATGCTCCAGTAACGAGCTGGCCCTGCCCTCCTACCCCAGGCCTGTGCGCGTGTGCGACGGCTGCCACACCCTGCTCCTGCAGCGCTGCTCCTCCACGGGCTCCTGAGTGCACCAGCAGAGCCGCCTCTGGACCAGCGGCCGCGCCGTCCTCAGGGTGTGGGCAGCCTTGGAACAGTGCCAAACTCTGTGGGTCTCAGGGGATGCAAGCGTTTCCCAAGAGAATCAAAGGAGAGTAAGACCCTCTCCCAGCTGCTGGCACTGCAAATACAGCGTGCCCGACTGGAAGCTGCGCCACTTTCCTCTCCGAATTGTACGGAATGAACTCCTGGGGATTGACACCCTTCCTTCTCACTGGGCTACTGGTTTCGGTTCAGGTGTAACTTCAGGATTTTGCTGTCATTTTTCACTTTTCAAAGAATTAACCTACTTTGCAGCAGTTGCACTAGTGTAGTGAGTAATCGGCTCCTGTCTTCCCCCCCAGTGTACCTTCCCTGCTTCAGTCAAGAGATTTGCCATTTCACACCCTTGTGAATATCTGCCATTAGCCCTGCAATAAAATCATTTCTTTTTCACTCTGGTGCAGAAAATGAAGGTCGTGTCAGTTCCAAAGGAGTCTGCCTGTGAGCAACTCCCACGTCGGGACTGAAGGCCCCACGTGCAGCGGGGCGGTGCATTTGAGGTGAGGGCCGTGAGTTGCTGCGTTCTGAAGTACAGGCTGCATTCTGCCCAAGTGAGCCAAGGACAAGTTGGGCCCTGAAGTCCATCAGCAGGCACAGAGATGACCTTGAGGCTGTCACTAAGCACTTAATTGCTCCTTTCTATAATAGGGAGTCGATATAAATGATCACGATGCAGGTGATGGGGAGCGGGTACAGTGGGTCACTCCTGGAGACACCTGTGAGGAAGCAACTGCCCAGCAGTCTGAATTTCAAAAGCAGTGCTAGGATGGGTGCTGTTGGTGGCCTGTGAAAACTGGCTCAGAGCCTTCCTCTGGAGCCCCCCTGAGCGCATGCTCGCCCCCTGCCCCAGACAGGAGTCAATGAATGGCCTCGAATGTTCAGGTTAAGAACTGTAACAAGCACTGTAATGCTGTTCAGACAAGTTGGTCTGTCCCTCTGCAGGTCCTCAGCCTTCTCCAGCCTCAGTGGACGCACACCTCCGGCCAGTCCTCTGGTCTGTCTGAGTCCTCCAGCCCTGCTGGAGACCTGCCCTTTCCCTGCTGAAGGTGCCCCCACAGGCTGGCTCAGGTTCCACACCTGCTGCTCCCTCTAGCACATCATGTTATGGTTGGAAAACCAGGAATCTGCAGCCTGCCTCCAAAACCATGTGCCCTGCTTCAAAGTCACGTTCCTTCCAAACTGCAGGTTTTCAAACCGTATTATTGAGGAAGCACAGGGCAGGGGCCAGCCTCAAGGCCAAGTTGTTGGGTAGGCACACTCGGCTTTGGCGTCCCACGTAGCAGAGCTGGAAGGACCTACAACTAGGATACACAACTATTTACTGGGGGGCTTTGAGAAGGAGGGGATAAGAAAAGATTGGCAACAGATGTTAACTCAAGTCCCAGGTCTTTAAAAAGAAGCCCACCCCCTGCCATTCCCTCTCTTAACCTGAGTAGCTTTTTCCAAAAAGCTTACGTACTGCTGCACTACCCCCAAACTGGTGCAGCATCAGATAGTCCTTTGTTTTCAGTGCACAGTTTGGACTCCAACCTGCTGGGGAGCCTTAGCTCTCATCTGTACAAACAAGGAAGCAGGGTACTACCTCCGTGCTCCAAGAATGCTCTCACCCACCACTGCGCCACTCGGTGCTCTTCCTTTAGCACATCCGTTTCCTTCTCCCAACCTCACCCACCCACCCTGCACGCACCAACTTCAACAAGCATTATTCACAAAGGATCCGTGTGCCAGGTGCCAACATTTATCATGGCAGACAGACCTTTTCTGCTCAGACATCAAACATGCACCTGAACTTTGGAACCCTGTCTCTGGTCTGGGCAGTGAGGGACAGATGGCCTAAGGCAGTGCCTCTCAAGCTTGAGCGCAAAGGTTGATACCTGGGGGCAGGGGTGAGGAGCCTCAAGTTACAAATCATTCCCAAGTTCCCAGGTGATGGTGATGGCCCATGAGCACAAGGCTCCAAAGAACCAAAACGGTTCTAGGACTCACTTTTCAAAAACCACATTCTGGATTAGCTTAGTTGTAAACCTCACTTCCTAAATTCCTAGTTCTAGTCCCTTCTCTTCCTCCAACAGGTCATGTTTTTCAACAAAGATGTTCCTTATGTAAAAAACTGAAGGACCCAGGGAAGGAATCCTCCTTGAGCCTTCCCGATGCCAAGTATGTTGATTCCATAGACATGGAGTAACTCAGCCAAGATCAGGGACAGTACTGTTGACAATGGTGCCTCTCCTGAAAATTGTCTAAACCTGCAGACAAGCTGCATGGTGCACTCTGAGTGGAAGACTTCCATATCCCCAGCCCAACTGCAGACCTCTCCACCGTGTGTGTGGAGCAGCACGAGCCGCCCGAGCCAGATGTGCACCCAGGCCTCAGAGCATGCAGGGCAGGAGGGTCGGCAGGCCTTCATGTACATCTTCCCACAATGCTGCCACCTAGTGGTAGAAACGGCTGTGGCTCTCAGCTGTGTTTCAGAGTCCACTCCCCATACCTCAGCTAGGATGAAACCTTCACTCTCCGTGAGTAAAAACTGTACATACACCTGGCTTCAAACAGCACAAGCCTGTATCTGCAGCTCTAATTCTAAATTCTAATCTCAATACAGCTAACTTTGAGTCTAGAAGGATGATGAACGAGTGGCAGTTACACTGCAGTCTAGCTACTGAAGGGAATTCTGGAACACCACCTTTAAGAACTGCTTAATGCAACAATTTGCAAGTATTTTCTAGCAAAGGTCATTTGAATTCTAATCTACCAAAACAGAAATTGATTTCAATTACTGACTTAAACCAGTCATTTTTGCTCTCAGAAATACTTGGTATTTAGCTTGTTAAGGGAATCAATTGGTGTTTTTTTTTTTAAGATCAGTCCTGAGCTAACTGCTGCCAAACCTCTTTTTGCTGAGGAAGACTGGCCCTGAGCTAACGCCCATGCCCATCTTCCTCTACTTTCTATGTGGGACGCCTACCACAGCATGGCTTGCCAAGTGGTGCCATGTCCGCACCCAGGATCCAAACTGGCAAATCCTGGGCCACCTAAGCGGAATGTACGCGCTTCACCACTGCGCCACCGGGCCAGCCCCTCAATTTTGCTCTTAAATGGACTTGATCTTTAGGCATGAGGAAAAAATATAAAGACTGAAACCTCAATCTGAAAGCCATCTGTGAGCTAGCTAGCTCCTCTAAGACACCCCATATAAGGAAAACTCAAATGATGCCATCACTGGGAAGGGCAGCTCCCAGTCAGTTACCCTTGGCCTCTGGCACTTCTCAGCCGTGCCCGAAGGCTGTGGACATGCAGAGAGCATGCAGTGAGGGCACTTCGACCTTAGCAAGTCAAAGGCCATTCACATCAGGTCCTGTGCAGCCAGACCAACACAGAGCCCCTCCACAAGGGCCCCAAAGCTACAGTTACCTTCAGTTGCACTGGAGGGAAGAGAAGTCTGAAGATATCTACACAACAGCCTCAACTGCCGAGCCTCTCTGCCACAGCCAGAGACGTGGGCCACTGTCACCTATGCCCCAGGCAGGAAGAGAGCACCAAGAAACAGTCCACATGACACTGAAGCATAGACAAGACAAAGTGCAATTTTTTAAAGGAAGATTTATTTGACAAGTTTCACTTAGCGCAATACACCTAAAAGGAAATCACAATACAATGAATTTTAAATCAAGGCCTCAGAATTTCATACAAACACCAAGACCAAAAATCCTAAGTATTGGTGTTGCATCTCAAATTTTCCCCATTAACAAAAAAAAAAGCTTAAACTTACGTGCCTCAGAGGTTATTAAATGAAACTAGAATTAACAAACATGCCAAATGTTTCACTTTTCATTTTAGACATAGCTCCTATATTGAGTTTTACAAAAAAGCATGTCTTTCAACATGCATCCAAACAGTGTTCAATGTAATGTGGTATAAGAGCAACATTTAACATAATTCAACTGCTTTAACCTAAATACACTTACTGCTTAAGGACAACCTACAAGAGAACTAACTTGAGAAAAGCTGAAAATCGTTTTAACAGTTACAGTTACTCAACCTAGTTGTTACATCCTAGATGAATGAATGTGCTCGAAAGTACTCAACCTTAAGTCTTTTAAAACAATCCTGATTTCCACTTAGAGTAAGCATAAATCACAAGCTTGTACTGCAAAACTGTTAAACTTAAGTTTTTTTTCTTTATAAAATGTTGACCAAGAGTCAGTGATCAGGATCAATTACATTCCCCATCCACCACTCATACTGGACATGCTAGACATCCCTCCCATTCCGTTCACTCCCACAGACGCACGGCTTCCACTACTGTAGTAGCTGCTGTTCACTGCTCCTTGGCTGCCTGCAAAGAGATCGATTGGACAAGTCAGGAGAAGCTATCAGGTTGTCAGTCAAACGAAATATAGCATTCCAAGAAAAAGTTTAAAAAGTATACGAGTACAAATGGCTGCTGTCCAAGTGGCGAGAAGCATGTTTGGGAAAGGGGACTCCCGACTCCAAACAAGTCTCAATTAACCCCTTTTCTCTGCAGTACCAACTTGCCAGACTCTTGTGCTACCATTTAATTGGATGCTTGAAGATCAACATGGAAAATTAAGTTTAAAGGAAAACTAGTGTTTTTCAAAAATTGCAAAATTACTTCATGTTGTTTTTAAAGCTAAACAAGGCATTTTAAAAAAAATTTACCATCAACATTCACAGTGTGTCCATCGAATGGCATATATGAATAGGGAGCACAGGGGCAGTCTCTTGCTTTTCCTATTCATGGCGGGCAGGAAGTGAGACAACAAAGTTGGACTAAAGGCAACTCACTGTGCCCAAAATGGCAGCCTCCATGGAGTTAAGTCAGAGCCATCGACTGCTATAGAGATAGTGTTATTACAACATATCAGTATTTGCTATTGGGAATTTAAGTTATATTTTTTGAGAAAATATTTACCTATGCAATGTTTGATTGAAAATCACTGGAGTTTTCCTGTAAAACTTGGTCTGCAAAAGGATTTTGTAGGGTAAGACTATAATACCAAAATCACCATTCTTTTAGACCAATTGAAAAAAAGTTAATAAATAAAATCATCCTAGGTTAACTGTCTAATAAATACGGTTCTGAACCCAACCACCATTCTACTATGTAAAATTCTCCCTCCATCTAAAATGGAATCATTGCTAACCAAAAGACAGAAAAAGTGAACTACTTTATTTATTGTTGTTTTAATAAATGGAGGCAGATGTTTTCTGGCTCGACATTATTCCAAGCTGCAGTAATGACTATTTTTAATTTACAGAACACTTCCCCCTCCCAATGACTGGTTCTGAAAATTAAGCTATTAAGAACAGTAACATTAGGATCAAAAGCATACATTTAATAACCCATTTTCAACAAAAAAGAGCCTGCATATTCCCCCAACTAAAGAAACCTGCCTAAAACTTATTCTAAGTATATAAAAATACACACTTACCATATCCACTCATGCTGCTCTGGCCGCCATAGCCACCTCCATAACCACCACTCAGCTGCTGGCTGGCTGGGCCACCGTAACTGGACTGGTTTGCTGTTAAGTTAAGAGAACATTAGAACCTTGTTCTTTATGTAATGTGGTACCTGCTGGTACCGGGCTTGTAATTCTAAATCTGATTTTCCAGTCTTGATCTTACATTACTATAACCCTCTGCCTCCTTCTGCCTATTATCTATGACCACACTAACCTTTCTATCCATCATTTGAGCTAATCAAACATTTTATAAACCAAAAGGCCAACAGTATACACATCAGCAGGACTAAATCCACATGATTCCACAAGTAGAGGCATTTTGCTAAGACCCTATGAAAACTGCTTAACTGGATTTAGTGGGAGGTTCCCTCCCCCATAATTTGATATATTAAGGTTATGTCAATACACAGGTATCACTCAACACCTAATTATGCCCAAAACTTAAGGTTATTTTGATCCTGTGATTTGGGTATATCAATTTTAGATTTATACATCATACTTCAAGACAATTCAACTAGTTTCCTTCTGTAGTCCCCTCCCCCAAAAGTACTTAAAAGCTATTCTAAGCAGTTTTATATAACTCAAGAATTTAAGTAAGCCAGACACAAAATTCAAATCAAAACTTCTTTGCCTAACTTAATTATACTAAGCTCATTAAATATAAATTAACTTAACTAATATAATCGACTTATAGATATAAATGTTTTGGTTTTTAAAAAAACTAACGATATTTACACAAGCCCATGCCTCCCATCATTTGGCTACCATAAGCACCACCGCTTGCTCCTGCTGTAGAATTCAAGAAGAGTTCTACATATCTGTGTTCTGAAATGAGAGAAAAGGTATACAAGGTTAGCTTAAAAAAAAGACACTAAAGTGATATTTACACAAACCCATGCCTCCTAGCATTTGGCTACCGTAAGCACCACCGCTTGCTCCTGCTGTAGAATTCAAGAAGAGTTCTACATATCTGTGTTCTGAAATGAGAAAAAAAAAGTTTGAAAATGTATGTTGGTGAAAGAAAACAAGATAAGCACTTAAACAAGTAGATCCATGAACTTCAAATACTTTTGGTAAAAAAAATTATAGCTACTTCTCAAGTGATTTACCTTAACTATCCAAGCTTCAAAAACCAGCCTTTTGTTTTAAACATTCACCTAAATTGCTTTAAGTTTGTCAATTAAGACATACTTCAAGTCAGCGTTCATAGAACAAATCCCTTTCAGTCATACTAATTTTAAAAATCATAAACTTTTAAAACACATCCCAAAGAACTAACGTACTATCAGGGAACAAATTTCTCACACATTCTTACTATTCCTCTATCATAAACGTCAGTCACACGACCACCTGTTGACAGAGCCTCCCAGATACTGAAATCACACTTACGCATATTGGCTTTGTCTTTCGACATAGCTGCCACGGCATCTTCGTGAGTTGCAAACTCAACATCTGCTTCACCAGTTACTCTGCCATCAGGACCGATTTCAATATGTACTCTCACAGGGTTGAGCGGTGAAAAGAACTAAATATAAACACAACATATTTCTGAGAATCAAGTCAAATATCTATTGTTACAAAAAACAAATAAAACCTCTAACATGCTATGCTTTTTCACCTACGTAGGCTGAACACCGAGTTGTTACTGCTATACTGAAACAGATGACTTGTGAATTTATCTTGCACTTACATTATAAATATCATTCTCAGTGGCTCTGTAAGGTAAGCCCCGCATGTGTACACAGTGTCCTGTTGTGCTCTGGAAAGTAGAACCACCATCCCCGTATCTGTGATCAGACATTCCTGAAAAACAATAATTGAGGTCTAGATGGACAAGAGTGTAAATATCCTTCACTTGAGAAATTTAATTCTTACCTTACCTCTTCCAAATCTATCTGACCCAAATCCATAGCCATCATTATAGCCATTATAATCATCATAGCCTCCATAACCTGAAAGACAGAAAGTACAATCCATCAAACAAAGCCAGGTACAGAAACAACAGACCTGATGACCCCTACGTATTCTTTACGTACCTCCACCATAAGCACCACGCCTCATTCTTTCAAAGCCAGCTCCCCTGCCAATGCTGTTGTACCCTCTGCCAGCCCCAGGTCTGTCATAAGGACCTGGCCGCTGCATGGCCATAAGCTTTCGTGGTGGATCATAGTGAGTTCTAACTTCAGCTCGACTGCTCTTAAAGATTTCGATATACCTAAAGCATTGTTCACGAGGGAAGGGGATGGGGAGGGGAGAGAAAACATTAGTTCATTTCATACAGGTATTTAGTTACACAAGAAAACAATGTAGTCATAGCCATGAAACTGACTAATATTTAAAGCCAGATTTTTTATATTTGCATAGGCAATGACCAGAAAATCACTCAATTTTAAGATTATTTAATGTAAACTTCATAGGAAAAAAACTCACTCCTCTGAGGCAGAGCGCCCAACCTTAGGGGTAGAGAGGAGTACTTAAAATTATTTTCAGGAGGGAAAGAATTCCACTCAACTTTCAACATTTCATGTCTTAAATCCATTGGCAGCATGTATAGCAAGTGGGCTAAAATGCCAGCCTCCACCAACAGTCTAGCCCACACTACACATTTCCTTTCGCCAATAAACACCCCAGCCTATGCTTTTAGTAAGAATCAGCATAGGCAAGCGCATGCTTCAATGAAAAATAGTCACAAGCAAAGAGAATAACACCTTTTGTGACAATTTCTTGAAAGCTATGCTTATTAATACATATGCAGAATATTTATACAGCAAGAAAAAGTTTGTTGCATTTCAACTTTAAAAACAAGATCAGAAAGTATCACATTTTCTTATGGTAATATTAATTTACTAGGTGGGTGTTATTACAGCTAAAGCCAGGTTTGCATTAACATTTTTTTAAAGCCATAGTCTCTCAACTCCATTGACTGGGGTTAATTAGGAATCGTACAAAATTGTAAAGTCGACCAAATTAACTGGGGACAATTTTAAAATTTCATCTGAATACACTATGGGACTGTGACATAGGAAAAGTTTGAGAATTGTTGGCAAAACATCAATGAATGGGGACTAGGTCATAGATTAATTTCTTCCTTCTAAGCAGAGAGAATATGGATTTAATTGTTTACCATAAGAAAAGTGACAAATCCAACCAACCATCCATCCCCACCTGTGCCCTATTCTTTCCTTGTGTTTCTTTAGAGCCTTTTCAGCTATTTCCTGTGAAGCAAACTGCACGAAGGCCTCCCCCGTACTCCTCCCCTGGAAGTCCACCGGCAATGTTATCCCATTTGGCACGATTTCCAACCCTTCAACCCAAGGACAAATAACCCCAGTAGGGGGGCAATATTAACATCACAAGCCCAGAAATGATTCTTCTTATAGCTTTAAATAAACCAGAATTTTAACTTTAGGTGAACGGTATGCTTTCAACAAGTACTCTTTAAATATGCATTGCAGTAATATGAAGTTCCATTATTACAAATCACAACGCAATTCTTAACACACCCCATGTCACAGTATACAAGAAAAAACTCGATGAACACAGGATGCATTAAGAATTCAACAATTAAGAATACGTATCTATGCAACTTAATGTAGAAAATTATACAAGAATTTAATAGTTTCAAGCATTAAGTAAAACAGTTTTATGAAATTTAAGACACACCTTTTACCTCATTTTATATTTCAATGTTTTAAGTTAGTGGAACTTCAAAAAGTTTAAAACAAATTTACACGTTCAAACATTTTATATACAAATTGAAACATTGCTCAAGTCATATCATTGACAAACATACAATCTAAACTTTCAACAAAAAACTGATCTACACAATCATGCACTCTTATGCTCTAACAGTAGTATGATTCACTTCTGGAAATTCCGTCTATGAAAAATCCTTTCCGTGGATACATTCCCAAGCTTACAAAAAGGGCTTAAAGCACTCTCCTAGAAGATATGAAATTATGTTCATATTTAACGTTGACAGATAGCATTCAATTCTCACCAATTTAGACAAAAACAAAACAGACTTGATTTCAAAAATTCTGGCAAAATATTAGGACTTGAGACACATCTAATAGTCAAGATTTTCATACATACTACAGTAAACCATGAAAGGATTTCTTGTTCTTAACTCCAGTTTATCACATCATGATTAAGTAATAGTACTTAAAATATACAATATAACATTTCTGCTAAACATGCAATTTTTATCAGCTCTTCAGCATAAAAACATTCAAATACTTTAGGCCCAGAACAATTTCAAAACACTTTCTGTATTTCAGATACTAAGACTACATTCAACCTACTCTTACATTAGATTGACTTTCATTAAGTTTATAATTCCCTGGCTAAACCAGTTGCTGCCATAACGGGGTTTTTTTGCATAAAGAGAATTAGACCATTAGAGACAATTCTGGTGCCACGACCCAGTGTGTCTTACAACAGACACCTGCCAGAAATCACAACCTAACTTACGCTAATCTAATGTGAAGGGATCTTACCTTTAACTTGCAGTACACTTTGCTGAACAGCATTGTGAGGAAAAGTAGTTAAGCTGTTGAGGACAATCCTCAAAGATCTACTCTGAACTATAATACTAAATATAAGCAAAGTTAGCATTTTGGAAGTACTTTATTTCCACCTTTAAGATGGGCTTAAATTATTTGAAGGTCTCCAGGAAGAAGAAAATATTAAGTCATCTGCACATACTCACAACCTGTTTAAATGTCTAAGCTGCTAAACTTTATTTAATCACATGTTGCCAGAAGCTAGCCAGAACTCGCTGCTCAGCAACAAACAGGACTACATACCTGAGAAGAACTGAACAATTTCCTCCTTGCTACATCCAAAGGGGAGTCCTCTAAGCCGTACAAAGCCATCATTGGCCGTGTCAGGACTATTTGGACCAGTATGCTTCAACACCCAATCCATTTCAACGTTGTTTGACTTGAATACTGAAAGAGGTGCTTAGAATTAGTCAACTTTGGAAAGTCAGAGATCAAAGTTCAGATTTCCTGGGTCTTTAGATAATCTAGGAAGAGCTGCCATAAACTCCCTTAGAGGACCATTTCCATGCGGTCAAATACCTAAAATTCAGAAGGGGTAAGATACATCTCTATGTGTTTAATGTTTTATTTACTGTTACTAGGGCAACATAAATCAAACCTTCAACATATCTGTGTCCCATAGTTTCTCTGTCTTTTTTCAGGGCCAATTTGACTTCATCTTCTGATTCAAGTTCAACAAAAGCCTCGCCACTGGGTCTGCCTTCTCTGGTGTAGATGAAACGAATACCTTGAGCCCCATTTTGAATTTTGCAGTCTGGAAAGAAAACAACCGTTAATACAGAATTTAAAACTTAAAACCACCTCTGGGCGATACAGATGAAACGCCTGCTCATGCCCCCACTACAAAGGAGATCATTTGTGAAGCCTAGAATGACCAAGACTTTTACCAACTTTGAAGATGCTTCCTGTTCACTAACTAGGCAGTTAGCCTCTCCCAATGAAACTTTTATTCCCTAGATGGTATAGTCCCAATCTGATCAAACCTTTTTAATCCCTAGATGATACATTCCCAATCAAAAAAATCCAGTATTCTAAGCAGTCTCTTAGCAAAGTTACGTCTTAAGTCCTCACTACCCAAGTGTCTCCATTAAACATTTGTACCTTCTCAGCAAATTAAGTCTGGACTTTGTGATTTTGTGGCATTTCCTCAATATACCGAGTTTCAGGTCTTCGTCTGGGGCATTTGACCGTTTTACCTTACTAGCAGCAACATTACAGTTTGTTTCGAATCCAAATCGCAGGGGCAACACTCACCTGAAAGGGGGTCAGTGTTACCAAGCTAAAAGGCTCCAAGTTGCACAGCTGAGCTGAACCCGGGCCGCCCAGCGGAGGGGCTCCCGGCGCACTGGGTTCCCGCTTACAGGTCGCGTCCTGGCACCAACGCTACACTCAGGCAGAAGGCAACACTACCGTGTCCTTCCAAAGCCTGTGCATTTCTTGCAAACACCCTCACCAGCCTAGTCTCACGCTAATGAGAACGAGAACGCTTCGGCAGAGGTTATTCAGGAAACCTTCCCACCGGGTAAAAGCTACACAGGCAAACTTCCCTGGGCTTCAGTGTCCTCAAACGCAAAGTGAGCCAGACCAAGAACTAGAGGAGCAAGAACTCTTCAATTACCCAATCTCGATTAGGAAATTGTCTGAAATTAAGAAGTGACATTTTAACTTTCCGAAGCACAACGCCCCTTGTCGAGAACGTACTTTCAAAATTGGAAACTCGCAATTACAACTCGCAAGACTCTTCAAAACGTCACTGTTACTCGCCCAGCCTCTGCGTAGTTTCCTTTAGACCGAGGAAGAAATCTCACTCACCCTTTTCGAAAAACCTTCACAGCAGAACTAGCGCCTGAAGGCAGCGAGCGTGCAGGCCGGCCGGCGAGGCCGCACTCCCCGGGGCGGCGGCGGGGGCGCTCACGACGCGCACTGCGCAACCGCGGCCGGCGGGAGCGGCCGACCCCGCCTGCCGCCGCCAGGGGGCGCCCCGCCCGCCGCCCGCCGCCCGCCCGCCGGCACCTCCCGCCCGCCGCCATCTCCCGCCGCCGCCGCCACCTCCCACCTCCCGCCGCCCGCTGCCGCCCCGTCCTCCGCGCCAACTCACCAGAAAAAAATCGCTGCACTTCGTCGGCCGAGCAGGACCAGGGCAAGCCCCGGACCTTCACCACGAAGCCCTCTCCGCCTTCGGTGCCCAACATCATCGTCTCCGCGGGGGTGCTGGCGTCCGAGCGGACTGCAAGGCGGGGCGACGCTCAGGCCGCGGAACGTCCCACCAACGGCCTCGGCCCGCGGCACCGGCCGCACCGGCGTCTCCGAAGAGCCGGTCCGGCGCGCACGCCCCAACCCCGGCGACTGCGACCCCCACCACCTCCCCGCCGGCCGCCGGCCCCCGAGGCCTCTGTGGGCACCAAGTACCAGCGCCCCGAGCCGAGGGGGCCCCGGCCGGGCGCCAGCGTGGAGGCGAGGAAATGGCGGCGGCCGCTTCCGCTCCGCCTCCTCCGACATCTCACACAATAGAGGCGGCGGGGCCTGCAGGCCTCGGCCGCCCTGCGCGCCTCGGCGAGCCACTCCCGGCTCCCAGCGGCGGCCCGCGCCTCGCCCAAACCCCCAGGTTCTACAGAGGTCTGGGCGCACGCACTGCTACCGAAAACGGCGTCCTCGGAGACGACTGGCGGCGAATACGGCGCAAGAAACACTCACCTAAACACAGGACTCCGGCGTGGCTGAGAAGAAATGGCCAGCGAGCGCCTGCGCAACCTAAATAAGGCCCTTTGAACAAGCTCTGCGCACGCGCAGCCAGGGGCCCGCCCCGCCCCCTTGCGTCACACAGACCTAGAGCGCACGCGTAATTTCATGAGCGGGCCCAGCTCCAGCCAGTATTATTACGCGCATGCGTCTTGAGTTCAGCCCCGCCAACCTTAAACGCGCCGGGTCTTTTTGCGCCTGCGCCCTTGTCGCAATTATTGAACTTCGAGCCTCAGCGATTTAGACAGTACTTTAGATTCATGCGCATGCGTCTTCCTTCAAACCGCTCTCACGTTCCCCGCCACAGTGGGGAGGGGAATGGCGGCAGTCGGTTTCCTGTAGGGACGGCCTGACAGTCCCGGCCTGAGGAGGCCGTCCTCCTGCCACTACCCACAGTCTATTATCAGCGCTCCCGGCCGACCTGACGGACAGGCTCCCCGCCCTTGCACCGTCTGTCTCCCCTTTCTCCCTAGAGCCCGCCGGCAACCGCCGGGCCTCCCCTGCGGCCGCGGGCCCGGAGCGCGTCCAGGCGTGTGTGCTCCGCTCCCCTTACCTGCCGCCGGCCGGCCCGGGCCCGCCCCGCGCGGGGTCGGCGCGCCCTGACTCCGTCCCACACCCGCCTCCGCCCCTGTGGCCCCGCTGCCCGCCCCGGGGTCGCGGCCCCGACACAGCGCGGCGCGCGCCGCCCTTTCCGGCTTCGCTCTCCAGGGCCGAGTAGGCACCGTTACAGCCCTTTCCCGGGCGGAGATGCTGAAAGGTGACCCACGGGCGCCCCGCGTGCGCGGATTGCACGAGACCGCGACGTTCGCGATGTCCAGCAGGACCGCGGGAGACCGGGACGATGCCCCTGGCCTCCCGGGCCTCCGCTTCTCTGACCCGGCTGCCCTCGCCACCGCAGGCCTGGGGGACGGAGGCAGTAGACGAGTTAACCGTCAGGCAGTGCCGTTAGTGAAGGCCTCCGAGCGCCGCCGCGGGAAGATGCGCATGAGGCGCGTTCCCTCCCAAGCGCAAAGTCTGGAGGCCAAAGCCAGTTTTGACAGGTTTGAGAAAACTAGAGAAGACATCAGTGAAACAATGGGGAGGGTGATCCAAGATAGGATCCCACGGGTAGGCAGGGCCGGATCTTGAAATTATCTGGAACGGCCGTTGAGGCTTTGGCGAGGGTGGTAACTCCAAGCGCCCGGGAGGGCGTGGCAGGTCTTCGGCAGGGACAGAGAAGCTGTCTGTAAAGGAAAACAGTCGCTGGGAGCGAGCGGGACCCAGATGGCAGGGTGAATGACGCCGCCTGCGCTCAGCCGCAGAGGGAGCTAGAGGAGATGGAAGGCGTTTCGACTGATGCCGCCGAAATGTGGGACTTCCAAGTCCTCCAGACAGGGGGTGTATCTCTGGGTAATTCCAAAGCAAGGAGAACACCTTTTGCTTTTGGATACTCTTTCCAGGACATCACAGAAACACCTCCAGGCGTGTCTTCTTAACAGGCTTACAGCGTTTGAGACTTCTCATCTTATTAAAATGACCAACAACGCTAGTTTTTGATTAGATGAAGGGAAAACCCTGAGCCCCTTTGTAGTGCATAAAAAAACATATTTTTTACCCTTTTTAACAAGGCCACGTTTCTGAAGTGCTTATTTTTCCCAATTTTTTTCTAAAGTTTTCTGGGGTTTTCTTTCATAATAAGAGTAAATGTCACACATAGTCATCATAGAAAGATTAGGTCATTTCCTTAGCATAGATTTCTAGAAGTAAAATTATTCAATGGAAGGTCTGCGTATTTTTAGGGCTACTAGCAATAAAAGGTTATAGCACTTGACAAGCCTCTCTGTGGGGTGTGAGGATTCCATATCCCCTTGTTTTGCCGACACTGAAAATGTCCTTTCTTCTAATCTGCTAATTTAGTACTGAGAAAACCCATATCTCTAATTTGCATGTTTGTTACTAGCAAGGTAGAATAAATTTTATACACTTATACCCAATTCCCTCTTAAATAAACTGTCAGTTTGACTTCTTTCTCCAGTGATCTTTGGTTTTTATTGAAGCTATTAACCCTTGGCCATAGTTGCCCCAAAAGTTTTTCTGTTCACTTACCTTTTAATCATTATTGTTGTTATTGTTTTGTTATGTTTAGACATACAGAAGTTTTCCATTTTGATGAAGCCATGGATACTTTGAGTTTGTCTTTAAGCTCAGAAAACCCTTCCCTATACAGAGATGAAGCACATATTTATTCATTATCTTTTTTATCTATTCTAAAACACGTTTTCTCACAGTTTAACTCTTCTAAAATAGCGATATCTGGGGCCAGCCCAGCAGCGCAACGGTTAGGTTAGCATGTTCCACTTCGGTGGCCCGGGGTTGGCCGGTTTGGATCCCAGGTGTGGACATGGCACCACTTGGCAAGCCATGCTGTGGCACGTGTCCCACATATAAAGTAGAGGAAGATGGGCATGGATGTGAGCTCAGGGCCAGTCTTCCTCAGCAAAAAAGAGGATTGGCAGCAGATGTTGTTAGCTCAGGGCTAATCGTCCTCAAAAATATAAAAAAGTGATATGCTGGGGCTGGGCCCATGGCTGAGTGGTTGAGTTCTGATGCTCCGCTTTGGTAGCCCAGGGTCTTGCTTTGGATCCCAGGCACAGACATGGCATGGCTGATCAGGCCATACTGAGGCAGCGTCCCAGATAGCAGAACTAGAAGGACCTACAACTAGAATGTACAACTATGTTCTGGTGGGCTTTGAGGAGAAGAAGAAAAAAAGAAGATTTGCCACAGATGTTAGCTCAGGGCCAATCTTTAAAGAAAAAAATAGTGATATGTCTTAAAAATCAATGGCATGTCATAATTTAATTGGCAGCATTTTTTTTGGTGTTAAATAATGGTGTGTCTTAAAATTGATGACATCTTAGACTTGATGGAAACTGGTATATTCTACTTTTTTATTTAATTTTTGTGATGACACATTAAAGCCATTAAAATTATGTTTTTATCGACCTTTTGTGTGTGTGTGTGTGTGAGGAAGATTGGCCCTGAGCTAATATCTCTTGCCAATCTTCCTGTTTTTTGCTTGAGGAAGATGGTCCCTGAGCTAACATCCGTGCATCTTCCTCTACTTTGTATATGGGATGCAGCCATAGCCTGGCTTGATGAGTTGTGTGTATGTCCAGGCCCAGGATCTGAACTTGTGAACCCCAGGCCACTGAAGCAGAGCGTACAAACTTGACCACTATATCACCAGGCCAACCCCCATGTTTTCACAGATTTTTTTAATGGTGTGAAGAAACGTTTGTGATATAATGGTATGTGGGGAAAAAAACAGAATACAGAATTAATGAGTTGTACATCAACCATGTAAAACTATGTCAATATTATGTTAAAGCACTATAGCACCAGCACAGAAAGAAACAGCTCAATGGGACAAAATCTAGAAACAGGTCCAAGGAGTATTTGGGAAATCAGTATTCAATGAGGTGATTTTCATATGAGAATGAAAAGAATTTTCTAAAAATGGTGTTAAATCCAATGACTAGAAATTTGGGAAAAAATAGTATTCACACTGTACATCAAAATGAACTGAATAGATTAGAAAGATTTAAACTTAAAAGTATATAAAGCTAAAAGTACTAACTAAAATGTGTGTACATATGTGTTTATAAATTTTTGAGATGAGGAAGGCATTTCTAAGTATGAAATCAAAGACATAACCACGAAGGGAAAGACTGGTACATTTACGTCATAAAAATAAGTTTTAAAATTCTGTATAGAATAAGAGAATTGAAAGACATTGAGAAAAAATTTGCAACACATATGAAACACAAAGAATGTGTGTATGCGCACAGCGTGTGAAATATCTACACACATAAATATATACATATGTACATATATACACATGAAATGCTTACTCTGTCCCAGTGTATTACATACAGTATCTCATCTAATCTCCAAAATAACCCAATGAGAGATATGTACTATTATTATCCCCATTTTACAAATAGGCAAACTGTAGCTTAAAGAGAAATTAGAGAAATTTGCTCCTGCTGCACAGCTGGTAAACAGCGGGATGGGGATTGAGCAACTAGTCAGCTAGGAATCCCAGACCATAAAGCCTCAGAGGAACAGAATTTACAAAAGAGGAAATGCAAATGATCAATATACATGAACAGTGTCTCCCTGGGGCTGGCCGGGTGGTGTAATGGTTAAGTTCCCCCACTCCACTTCAAGCGGCCCGTGTTCACAGGTTCAGATTCCAAGCACAGACCTAGCACGGCTCATCAAACCAGGCTCTGGTGGCATCCCACATAAAACAGAGGAAGCTCGGCACAGATGTTAGCTCAGCAACAATCTTCCGCAAGCAAAAGAAAAGAAGATTGGCAACAGATGTTAGCTCAGGGCCAATCTTCCTCACACACACACAAAAGTATCTCCTTGGTGGTAACCAAAGAAATACAAATTAAATAAAATAATGCAATGCCTTTTGCCACTAATTTTCAAATTAATGACTGTTAAAAATAATCAATGCAGCTGGAAAGGATGCAGGCAGGTGCCATGGGCGTACATTGTGGTTGGAATGTAAATTGGTATACTCTCTCTGCAGGCCTATTTGCAATACATATTCAAAGTCTTAAAAGTGTACATCCCCTTTGATCCATACATGCCACTTCCAGTTTTGCACAGATTTACATTACAACAATATCCGTTGCAGCATGAAATAGGGAAATTTCCGAAAACAACTTAAATGTCTAATGATGAAGTGAATAAATCGTGGTGCATCTTTATCATGCATTCTCACTTAAGGCAATATCACCCCCCATGGGGGCAAAAATTTGTTCTTGAGTGTGGCAGCACTGAATACATCTTAGCTATTATAGTGGTTTGTAGCCCTTCAAAGGACCACAGGACATAAAAAGATATACTGAATATCTATGCTGTTAAAATTTCATGGCTGGGGGAGATTAGGGAAAAATTGTCTAAAAATGCTCCTTTGGGTGGCGATCATGGAACAAAAAATTGAAAAGAACTGATCTATATAATTGATTACTCAGCAGTTATTAAAAATGTTGACACAGAAGTATATTTTTTACTGGAAAGATGTTTACAATATTTCTTGAGCGAAAAAAAG